GAAGCCGTTATATGGAAGGTGGACGAAAGGGTTGTCCGACCCGAACCATTTTCAAAACCATTTTTCCTTGGAAAAAAAAAAATATGAATAAATAAAATCCAACTGCTTCAATTTAAGATTAAATAATTCTTACTTTGTTTTTTCTTTTTTGTTTTGCTTCTTTTTTTTTTTTAATTACATTTGCTTGCTTTACGTAAAGTGTACGTTTATTTGTTTTTCTGTCATTTTATAGAAATTCTTTATAAAAATAACTCACCGAAAGTTTAAAGACTTTGACAACAAAACATTATATGAGCATTTACATTTTATTTATTTTGCATTCATGTAAACAAAAACATACATATAATCTCTGCAGTAGGCTCTCGGCTAATATTTATATACCTTATATGTTAAATCTATATTTAATCATGCATGAGAATGAAGAAAGAAAAACTTGAGTTTAATAGTTTTCTTGTGAACAATAATAAAATAAAAAATGTTGAAAACAAAAAATAAAAACAAAATTTCCTTAAATAATTTGCATTCATTTCAAATTGTTTTCCTATGCCGGTCAAAGAAATCAATTATCATTTTATGGGTTAAAGAATCACAAAAAATTTATTGATATTTTATTGTCTTTTTTTTTTTTTTTTTTTCCTTATATTATATTTTTTTTTTTTTTTGATATTTATTGGCTTTCACTGTACATAAGTCTGTTGCTACTAAATCTACCCCGAGTTTAAATGACTCTGAACGGTTCTGGTTAAATGCTGGCGGTAGGAAAGCAAGTAGCTTAACTTTACATAATCCTTATATCACTATGGTCACAGCGGTCAATTTAGTCAGACACTTGACCCTTTTTTTTTTTTTTTTTAGGAAACAGATTTTCAGTTGTTTTTTCTCGGAACGGAATAGCAGAGACAGGATGTATCTGCAAAAAAGCAAAAACAAAACTCACTTCATCATCAACAAGGATAGTTTTTAGTTTGGTTTTTATGCGTACAAGAGGAAAAGAATAGAGGAAAGGGAAATGGAATATTTAAAAATGTTTTTCTGCTATACAAGGCTTTGATTTTTCTTTCTTTTTTTTTTTAACTTTCTGCTGCCTCTGTTTAATCTCATTACAATGGAACATCATTCCAATATTTTCGTCTATGGGAAAAAAGAATAGATTTATTTGAATTGCACTTCAGTGACAAGTTCATTTTTACAATTAGGATAAAGATAAGAAATAAAAGAGTTTTGTAAACTGAAAAACATACGACGGCAGTAAACAATGAACATGAACATACGACAGCAGACGTAGATTTAAGAAAAACAAGTTTTTAAAGGTTTTAATGCCAAAGTGCTTCGCTCTGCAGTGAAACTGAGTACTGCTCCAAATGTTCGTATTAGTAAGAACTTGAGTCAGTCTTTAATCAAATTATTTTGATCGTTTTCCATTTCAATTTCCATCTGTAACTTCCAAGTCGAAGACACAACCCACAACAAGCCTTTTTCTCAAACTTTTATCAAACAAATATCATGAACTAACCTCTTTAGCATACCATTTGACACAAAGTTCGCTGTTAGAACGGGCGAAAAGGTACATTGTCTGATAATTTTCAACACGTAGACCAACAAAAAAATCATACCATATTTACAAAGTGCTAATCTTTAAACAATGCCTGTCAACATGTCATGTCATTTAAAAGAACTTTTGTTTAGAAAAAAACAAGTAAGAAAATTTGATTCAGTCATGACCGAACTTTTTATACCTATCACCGTGATCATAAAGAAAAAGGAAAAGAACTATATTTTCACACTCTACAATATTGGATGGGCGCAATTAAATTTTTTTGTTCTTTGAATAGAAGTGAAAATGAGATATATGTTGTACTCTATGAGCAACAAGGACAAAACACAGACAACAAAAGTGTTCACAATTTTTATTACATATTCATGTAGGCATTGTAGGCATGTTCTTTGAAAAGTGCGGTTCATTTTTAAAATCTTTGACAAGTTTGTAGGCGATATCTTCATTTTTGCGAACGGGAGAATTTTCACCACAGACACACACACAATTTCGCGGACGGACAGATTGCCAGATGAATGAAAGGGAATGCTTAAGAGCATTCCGAATTGGCATTGATTTAAATACTACGTATTTTCGTATCGTCGTTGAGATTGGCGCTAACGGTCAAGGCAATAGCATTACGTCTTCATCTCGTGACCCCATGGCGAGCATCTAAGTACTGACACTGCCAAAAATCAATTGATTACCAATGAGTTAATCGCGTTCGATACCAAGCGTCTGACTGGACGTGAATGGAATAACATCAATGGTGTAAAATTCTCCCTGTTGCAAACAACTGAAATGAATTCCAAGCCTCACTTGTTGTTACGTCACAAGTTAATAAAGTATTTGGGCGGGAAGAGATTTTCACACTTAAACGAAACAGACCGCTGAAGTGTACTAACCCAGTTTGTCGTTAAGTTGCCAGCATACTTGAATGGTGCTCAACGTCAAGTCTCGAAAGATGCTTGCCGCATTGAATATCGTGCTTATCATTACTGAACAACTGAACAACAACTATTACTATTGCTTCTGAATTGCTTGAGAAAAAATTTCAAAGAATCTGTTCGTATTCAATTTGGACGGTGCACTTTTCATGCCTCCTTGCTAACTATCGATAGTGACGTTATTGAATTAACGGCAGGCAATGCCGATACCAATTTGGGTAGCAAAGATTTCGATCATCACGTAACGGATCATTTCACTAAGCTGTACAACCAAAAAAACAAAAGCAAACATATTGGCTAACACAGTGCGTTACCAAGCACATTTGGAAATTGAATCGTCCCTTGAAGGTAAAAAATTCTCCGACACTTTGTCTCACGCTAAATTTACAAAATTGAATATGGATTTTTTCGGTTCAACCATAAAAGTAATGCGAAAAGCAATGTCGATGTGAGTGGAAAGCATGTGCATGAAATTATCTTAGTTCTTCGACCGACACGTGTCCATAAAGTACAACAATTGGTTATAGGTTTCTTTGACAGTAACGTACTCTTACGCGGAATAAATTTCGAAGAGGCTGCTGTCCTATTCAACAAGCAAGGCATAGATGCCATTTTTTGGCTTGATGTCAATCCTTTCACTTTGGATATTGAGACTATGATAGATATGATGACTAGACTGATTCCTCCTCCCTCCTTTCATGTACTTTGGCAAACTTGCACTATACATTAAAAGAAATAGTAATATGGACATCATTTTTCATTACCAGCGACTCAAACCAAGACACAAAGATTGCAACATAGTTTATTAATTCTTAATGACCGAAACTGTGATATGTTTCGAATAGAACTCCACCTATTTAAATTATGGCGATTATTTTGTTAATCGTAGATCAGCTCGTTTTCGAAATTGATTAATTGAGCCGTCAACTAAGGACACACATGCTAAAGCTTTCCTTTTGAAGCCGAATTTAACTATCTCACATACATTAAACATATTGTAACGTATATAAGGTATAGCATACTCATATGCTCGAAAGTCGCCAATAATATTCTCAATAATTTCTTAAAAATATGGCTGAACAGAAAAAAACACGACGTAGTCAGTAAAGATGTGAAGTTTTGTTGTTTATAAACTTAAAGTGGACTAAGATGTCCTTCTAACTACCTAAGATTTTAGGAAATGGTATTATTTAGACGTCTTGATGCCTTTTCGTAAAACAATTGAGTAACTAATATATTTTATTTCTAATCATAAATGCCAGATCCACTATATAATCCACTATATAATGCCACGTCAATATTATTCTCATTTCACTGCATTTATCCAAAAGAGATATTGTCGATGGATTTGCTTGGCTAACAAAATACTTTGAAGAAGTGAATTGTGTTAGAAATTTTTTAAATTTGACTTTATCGAAGGACTTTTACACATGTCTTCCTTTCTTCTTCTTCTTCTTTAATGTACGAAACAATACAATGACATCTTTAAATTGTGTCATGTTTATGCCTCAAATTTGTAATTATTTGTTAAGAGCATTACGTTGCATTTACTTAGGAAAAATTCTCGCTTACAATCGTTTTTCATTAAAAATTTTGATTTTCTTATTCTATTTTATTAGCTGATCTCTCTTAATCTCGTTTTAACCTTTCTTCTCTGCGCTTTTGTTTTGTGCCTCTTTGATGATAATTCCAGTTTCGTTGTCGTTTTAGGGCAATCAGAAATTTCATTGATTTCTTTTAAATTTCGAAAAGGTTTACTTTTTCGCCAGAAACGTATGAAAAATTGCAATTCCTCTCTTAGAGCCCAACCGGGAGATTTCTGGAACTTTCTGCTTTTAAAATACGATAAAAGAATTAAAAAAAAACTTAATTTGTTACCTTTTCTTTAATAGCAATTTTTTGTGTATTCCACAGAAACTCAACTATGCCGAGAACAATAGCCACCAACAAGCCCGCCAATAGAACAATGAATAAACCACCCACAGAGTTGATATTGAATTGTGTGCTTTGCTCAAAATTTACCAAATCCGTTGGAATACATTTAGTCTCGTTGTTATTAAACCATTTGTTCTTCAAATTATATAAAATGCCCTTCTCGCTTAGTTTTAAAATACCAACGCTCAAGTTGGAACGAAAAGGGGCATCTGCGTAGAAATGTAAATAGGAAATGAGTTGTAAAAGTTTTTTCAATAAAACGTTTACCACATGTTCGAGTTCTTACTTAAAGGCACCGCTATGCCGTAATGTTTTTCACTAAATGTTGGCCCGATTTGCATTAATTCACAATTCCTTTGAGCATAATATTGTATATTCGGAGTTTCCATAAGAAAAGCATAGCGGCCTTTACTTCTTCTCACCCGATCTACTCCTTCTCTATTGTTGGCTGTAAAAGCTTCCGGCTTCATTGCTAACATTTTATTCCACGCCACACGATAGTCAGACTCATTGGATTCGGAAAAGAATAGCGAAGTTGAACCACCCTTAACCATACCAAATTGTACTTTATTTTGTTCTACTAAGTCGTGTAGATTTTTTATAGACCCTTCCAGCTTAGAAGCCGTAATAAACGAGGCCAATTTAGCTGTGTATGTACGTGACATTAATAAAGCAAATAACCACCAAAAGGCCGTGCAAAGACGTAGGGAAGAAGCTCTGCAAGGTAAGAAAATGAAAATTATAAAATCTTAATAAATATTCGTGAGAATATACTACTTAGGCAGAAGATCACAACTCATACCCAGTATGGAGCCTATATACAACCAAAGAGAATTTCTAAGAAACCATTTGTTCTCTATGATTACAAGGCAATCATCTATTTGCTGCTCTTGCCATTCAGAAGGATTCAATCTAAAAGGGGAATTGCTTAAAAGAAATTTGCTAAAAAATATATCATTATTATCGTCTCACCTGGCCATCAGAATTAATAGCAAGGCCATAAGCAATAAAGCTACCAGCAAACACAGCCAAACATCTAGAGAGAAAGGTTTCAGAAATGCAAATAAACGCTTCTCAGGAGGCTTTGGTTTGTGATATAAAATACTGACACCTAATTGCATAAAAGGTACCGTAAAATCTACAACGCTACGGCGGGCCTGGGTTATGGTCAAATCGCAAATACCCAACTGAGCATTCTAAATCAAAATAGAGCCATTAGAGCTATTCTAAAAAGATTTTCTCTTTTCACATGCATTATCAATTAGCTGCCGTATAATACCGTTCCATTCATCCGTTAAAGAATCGTAGCTGCCGTAATTATTATCTGCTACTGGTTCGAAGATGAAATCAAATTTACATTCTTCGGCAAGTTTATAAATCAAGTCTACGACGTAACCCTCGAAACGTTCATTACCCTCGTAATGAACACCCTCGGGTTCAGGCCGCCACATAAAATAAGGTTCGCCCATACGTGTTGCTATCGTGTAACGTACACGTTTCAAAGAGAAATCTTCTTTACGGGGAGATAATTTCTGTCTTTTCTCCTCCTGAGTAGAATTTTCTTGTAATTTTTCATAATCTACTAAGCCATGGCCCTTATTCCATATGTACACAATTCGTTCAACTAAAGGATTATAAATTTCCAAATTAAAATCATCTCGCAAACCGGTAGAACTTAAAAACATTTTTTGGGTCTTAAAGGCAGTTATATTTCCGCCCTGGATTTTAAACTGTATATATATATAGAGAGAGAGATAGAGAGAGAAAGAGAAAGACGCAAGAACATTTAAAATGACAGAAATCTTGAAAATTTATTCGTAAATACTTGTTTTATATGCTTTACAATTTCCTCGCCGACAGACCAAGACTGAAGACCACATTTTGTTTTCGGAGGCAATCGAAAACTTCCACTTTTTATGACCGTTCGTAGCCCCTTGGAGTACAAAATCACGGCATCATAAAGCGATTGCGATTTCGTTAATACAATTGATTCTTCGGGTTCTTGGTGAAATATGTCAAATTCTCCCAGTTGACCAGGTGGTATGAAACGTCTTAATCGTATAGCCGTTACTTTAGCGGTAAACTTTTTCGAATATAAACTAGCCAAACCACTTGCATGTGTATCCAAATTAGCAAGAAATAAATTCTGAAAAGATAAGCAAGAATAACTCTATCAAACTCTTCTAATATTTTTAGATCTTTGTTCTTACATTAAAGCCTCCCGTCATGTTATAATATATACTGATATTGACTACCTCCTTAAGAATATCAGGCGGACAGTCCAAGAGTATAAATTTTTCTTTCATATTACTTAAAACTTTCCATAGTATACGATAGTCATCACCACGACGAAACTTGACCATCTTTAAACCGTTTTTATGAAAAGGTTTCCACGACAACAAATGCTGAAAGCGAGATAAACCTAGAAAATAAAAAATAGTAATTGAAATTACGATTAGTCAATTGATTTGACTTACTACTACTCTCAACCTCATAAACTATGGTAAAAGATTTCCAATCGTATTCTGTACTTCTTAAAATCTCCCACAAAGCTTGTGATAATGTTGACTCAGTTGGCGCCACATTTATGCTGAATTGATAATAACGCATATCCCCTTCCTTAGCCTTTGAACTCCAATCAAATTGTAAATGTGGTATACCTGTTTGATTACACAACACCGCTACGATATCTAAGTAGGATATCACTTTAATTATTACACGTACAAATTGATGCCTACTTATAGGTATAAATTTAATACAATTTGCTGCATAAATTGCGCCAAAATATAAGTATCTATTATGTACAGCAAACATAGCGTGCAAAGCATAAACAAAGGATTGATTTCGAAAGCTTTAGAGGTGAGCTAGAAAAAATAATTATTTCTTAGATTCGTTGTTACCGCTTTAACGACTTCTCCCAAAAACTGGAGTCCTATATATCGTCGTCCTGATAGCATCTATGGAAAGTGAATAAGAAAGAGTCTACCGGCTTGAAGCCAATCCAAGATTTCTTTCAAAAACTAGAGTTCAAAATATCGCGAATATCGACGCCCTCATACCTTCTATACGAAGTATATAAAAGAAGACATCCAGCTTAGATCCTATCATTAAATCTGTCCTTAAATTAACATAGAAAATGACGTCATCGTTACATAATACTTGTTGATAGCTTTGATTCATTTCAGATAACATTGCGGAACGTTTCTACTGTAAGTCTTAGCTCTTAGGTCGTAAGTTAAAAAGCTTGTCTCGTTCATTCTTCCACCAAAGTATTAGGTGGACCCAGAACATAGTCTTGAGTGTAATAACGAAAAAATGGAACTATTTTTCGTAGCATTTTTCCATTTTCCTTGAAACACTTTCAAAGCATGGCTGCGGACAAAAGTCATTGTCCATCCCACTTATCCTTGACTTTCAGTCAAATAAAGACTGTAAAATGGATGAACAATAGGGATATGTTTACGAGTTCGAATTTTCATGGTGGGGAATGATGCGACGATGTTCGTTTGTTGTCCTTATTTCACCAAAAACCTCCCGCACACAAATACTTGTGTTTACTACAGAAATTATCGTTTTAGATTCTTCTACACTTACAAAGTTCTTTCGAAGGGCTTTAAAGGCGATTTGCATAGAACCAACTATCTATTATAATCTTATGTACATCTTTTGAAGCATCGACACTTGAGATTTAAACTTGCGAACAATGAATTGGTGGTCGCGTGTCTTACCTATTTGGGTACTCACGTGGACGTTGATTTTGTACGGTCTTCACGACTCTCGCTAGTAAATGGCAGCCGCGACTTAACTCATAGCAATCATAGCAGATCCGCACAATAGCACGAAATGATGCTTCATTGTCAAAGTGAAAATAAATTATTTGATGTACCCTTTGCCTTGTGTTAATTCCACTTTTCCCCTAAGACGTAATTTTCATATCAATATGTAAACAATACAAATCGCCCTCAAAGATATATTGAAAAAGGTTAGGGCCAAAAATATTAAAGTTGCAACTTTTCCCCTGGAAACTTCGAATTACATAATTTTTTGATTTGCGCGCTTTTGTTACGTGCTGCCTTTTTGGTTACATATTTCCAAATTTTAGCGATAAAAGTAAGGAAATTCGCACATGTCAACATACCTCAACGATATGTCAAATATAAAAATCACGAACTAAGTTTCTGAAAATTTATTTTTACACTTCCAGACAGGAAAACAAATCAATATGTATACCGCTTGAAACTCGTTAAAAGAAAATATTTATAATAAAAAAAAAAAAAAAAACGAAAATCCACATAAACAAATTGTATATAAATAAACAGAAAAGGCTTAATATTTGCAAAGCATAAGTGAATACGTCCAATAGCGACAACATACATATAAAAGAGATTAAAAAACGTAATGCCAATGCTTACCGCTTGACGACTTTGAACTTGGGCCAAAAATCGCTAAAACACCTTGTTCAAGCAGATCACAGGCTGTCGGAAAAACAGAGACAAGAGAAAGTTTTTTGTTTTTTTGTTTTTATTAATAACTAGACTGACCTAAATTTTGCAATATTACGCTATCATCTTCCGCTAGAAAGTGCTTCACGACCTTGAACCTTAATTCGGTATCCAAGGCATTTATGTCCGTAATCGCACTATCAAAAGCTTCCATTAAAGAATATTCATCTTTAAAAAATAAAGCACCTATGGAAACAGCAAACACATATGTTTGAAAAAATATATTGTTTTTTAATTTATGGATTTATTTTTGTTTTTTACCAATTTTCACTGTTTGCAACTCTTTCGTTATAGTTAAAAATAATGAGGAAATTAAAAATTTCCATAAAAAATGCATTTTATATATTTTTTTTCCATTGTCTTTTTAATTAAATTTAAAAAAAAATATCCATAGAATATTCACTCGCGCATTTCAATTTCGCATTGGTTGTGTTCCACATTCGCTCTACAACTAAATATATATTTAATTCGAAACATTTCACATAGCTCTGGCATAATGCTCGTAGCGTTTGCTATTTATTTATTCATTTTTTATGGCGCCTAAAATATAAAATTACAATAAAAACAACAGCAGCCTAAGCATTTTGGAATATTCATTTAACGTCATTAATACAATATCTGAGGAACAAACTTTGAAATAAAATTTTTTTAAAAAATTATCTCATCATATGCTGACCTAAAAATACTTAAATGTATACGTAAGTAGATATGTTAGTTTGTAATTGCTGACCGATTTCATTTAAAGTTGATCTGTCTGCCCGACGTCTCGTCCAATTGACGATAACATTTCCTTCGAAACATATGTTTTTAATACTTATATAAAACTTTATAAAATTTAATAATAAAATTTATATAAAAATTAGAAAAAAACTTTAATCTCGCTCCGAAAATTTCGGACCACTATGACTACGCGAATGTGAACGTTTCGAATGTTTCGAACGTTTTGAAATTTTAGAACGTTTCGACTGTTTTGACTGACCGGAGGAACGTCGCGAAGTGGAACGTGAAGATCGTCGACTAGTGCTACTTCCACTAGAAATACGTATCGGTTTACGCTTAATCCAAAATTTTAAAGCGAAAATTAATTCAGCTTTAAAAGCCTCACAAGGCGTAACCTGAAGAAGAAGTTAAATAAAAGATATAAAATTTCATTTGTCGCATTCATAACTTACCCTCTCCTCGACTGCTACACGTTGCACATTCCAAAGAAATTCACAACAACCAATAACAATTGCTATCACAATACCGCCGCCCAAGACCATAAAAACACCACCCAGTTCTATAATCGATAGCTCATCGCCATCCAAATCGGCTTCTTTGTTATCGTTACAAGTGTTATTATGATTTTTCCACCATTTGTTTTTCAATTTGTACAATTCGCCCTTTTCGCTGAGCTGCAATAGGGAAACGCTTAAATTGGTGCGATAATCTGCCCCCAAAGGGACAGCTAAGCCATAATGTTTCTCTCCAATCTGATGACCAATCTGCTGTAGATGGCAATCTCTTTCAATATTATACGATAAGCTGGTTGTTTCCATTAGAAAAGCATAATTCCCTTGACCTTTGCGAACCCGTTCGACGCCCTCCTTATTTGAGGATGTAAAAGCCGAAGGCTGAAATGATTTCATTTGATTCCAGGCCTTATGATAGTCGGTATTATTTGATTCCGAGAAGAATTGTGAAGTACTACCGCCGTGAAAGGTACCAAATTTCACATAATCCTGTTCGATGAGGTCTTTTAAACTTTTAATAGTGCTCTGCATTTTGTTACTGGTTAAAAAGGCGGCCAAATTAGCTGTGTAAGTGCTTAAAATCATTAAAGCGAAAAACCACCACATGCCTACTAGCATACGCATAGGACCACCTCTGTAAGAGTTAAAAAGAAATGTTCTTTCGCGTTTTCACTCTTTTAGAAAACCTCACCTACCTGGGCAGTATATCACAACCCTGCTGCATAATGGAGCCGATCATTAGCCAAGCGGAGTTGCTGGTATACCATTTATTCTCTAATTCAATAGGTTCAAGGTTGGTAGGATGAGGATTTTCCCATTCATGATTAGAAATTCTAAATAAAACAAAAAGAGTGAATAACGTAAAGAGAGAGAGAAAGGGAAAGAGAGTAAAACTTATTCCCTTCCCTATCTCTTTTTTTTTTTTTTTTTTTTGAGAAAGAACTATTTCTCTTTCTCTTACCTGGCCATAAAGACAAACATTAAAGTTATTATTAGTTGGGTGAGTATTAAATAGATCCAAACCTCTTTAGCAAAAGGTTGCAGAAAAGCAAACATATTCTTTGGCTCAGCATCTCTTTTATAAAATAAAATACTAATACCGAGTTGCATAAAAGGCACAGTAAAATCCACATATTTACGTCTCAGTTGTGTAATGGTTAAATCAGAAATACCGATTTGAGCTTGCTATAAAAATCAATTTACTCTCTGTATTGTCTTTTCCTGTCCTGAGATGAAAATACTTACATGATCAATTAACTTTCTTATTATACCGTCCCATTCCTTAGTGATCTGATTAAATTTGCCATTACCACCGACTATCATAAAATCGTATTCAAAATCCATTAGCTCTGAAAGTTTTTGTATCAAATCAACTGCATAACCTTCATATTTCTCCATACCTCGAAAATTTTCATGGTCAGCTCTGTAGAAACAGAAATTACAATTTAGGACAAGAACATAAGGGTAACCATGCTCACCCACTTCAACATAAAATAAGGTTCCTCAAAATGAGTCACCACTATATAGGTCCGCCGCACTTGGGAGAAATCTGGTATGACAGCTGCCGCTTGGAATTCCTGCTTTATTCGAATAGGCGTTACAAGTCCATCAGACTTCCAAATGGCCAACGGTTCATTAACTGTAGGCTTATAAATTTCCAAATTGAATATAGAACGCTGGCCATTCTCGTCGATTTTCATATTTTCCGTCTTGAAAAGGGGCTCGACATCATCCTCAGAGAGCTGCCAAAAAATTACAAAAGTTCGAAAAAAAATCTTTTTAAATGATAAATAGAAAAATTATTATGCCCAAGCATTTACCTCTTTCATTTCCTTGACAATTAAACGGCCAACCAGCCATGGACTTCGACCGTAGCGACCTAAATCGCAGCGCTTGTAAGGATGCTGATACTCTTTCAGGGAAATGATAATATTACGAGCGGCATTAGCATATAGTATAACTGCATCGTACATCAAAATTGGTAGCATAGTTTGGTTTCCAAAGATTTGCTGAAAATTAACAAAAAGTCTTCCATTAAAAATTCCAGAAATTCTCCTTAAATAAATGAGAGCACTGCAGTATGCTACGGCCCACTACCCTTCATTCAAATAACAACCATTGAAAATAAGATAAGTGGTCGAAAAAATAGTGCGATCCGAATCATTTCCAACAGCGTTCGTACCTGGATCAGAACACGTCGGTGTACTAGATTTGATCACAATATCTGAAAAGTTAAGGCCTGTTGGTTGGACACAAGAAAACAGGACGGAAACAGGGACAGACGGGCGGATAATTTTACATCGCTATAGTGAAAGGTGGATCCGTCTCAAGACCTTATGGGTATTGCGCCCATCCGCACAAACTTATCATACCTTTGTACCACACATGGTGTACAGTATAACTATATAGGTCTCATTAGCACGCAATTTTTCATAGATGTAAAAATTACGCAATGGGCTTATGTCATTCTCTCTGATCATCCCCACAGCGCGCAAAACCCAAAGTTTGGATAGATGTTTTCAAAAAAATATTTTTACATTAACTACACTTTTAACTTACATCGATTAAAGTAATTCGTGTCTTTCGTCTCTCGTAAGGATTTAGATCATTAAGTTTCAAGCGCACTCCGGTAATATTCGCTTTAAATTGCTCATTATAGATCAATTTCAGACTAGAACTGTGAGAGTCCAAGTGTGTCAAAAACCATTGCTAAAGAACAACATTAATTGTTATGGAAAAAAAGTAAACCGTTCGAATGTAGGTCAAAAGTTACTTTGAAAGGACCTAATAGTTTAAAGTCCTTAGCGGTGTTTAATAGGTCAACCAAAGTTTCCGGATCACAATCGAGTATAAAACGCTGTTCATGCAGAGCCTCTGCAGCTTCTTTCCAAAGCACTCGTATATCCTGGCTATAATCCGTTATACGTTTTAATTTAATTGCATCCTTATTAACCGTATGTATACCCATTAAATCCTGTAGACGTGTCAAACCTTCAAAAATAAGAGCATAAATAAATAATGTAAATTATTGCAAGAAAATTTCATATATTGTACTCGCACCCTGTTCACTCTGATAAAATATTGTGAATGTCTTCCAATCGTAATTTATTTTAATGATATCCCAATACGCTTTTGAGATGGCTGACAGCGTTGGCGCCACATTCACGCTCATGCGATGATTAAGTTGTAATTGCTCGATAGTTGTTTCAATATTCCAATCATATTGTAAGTGTGGAATACCCGTTGAATTGGCTATTAAGGCCACGATATCTTTGCAATTATAAATGTGCACAAGTAGATGGACAGATGACAGAGACAAATGAATGATATGTAAAATAGTTTGGTTCTTAATTTTATATTTCATTTACTTTAACAACAAAACATACCATTTGAGGCCTTTGATGTGGGACCGAAAAGAGCGGCCACACCATTGGATATTAATTCGCAAGCTGTTTGGCAAACAAAAAAGAAAAAACACAAACAGTAAACAAAAAATGAAAACAATTAATTAATTATGTCATAAAAATTGTTGAAAAAGTGACAAATGAGAAAAAAATCTCAAATCCATTTTAGTAATTTTCAAATTTGCAGAAATTTGGTTTCAGCATTTGGTTTGAATATGCAACAAAATTTCTCTATGAAGCTTGCTTAGCTTTAACACTAAAACTACTGACTACCGTTTCAGTTATGCCTATTTCTACCGTTATGGATCATTTTGACCCATAAAATTTGTGACGTGGCTAAAATTGCAAAAATGAAGATGTGAAATTGACGTTCGGCATAAACATATCTTGATCGATTAAAAACTCAAGGTTGAAAAATGGTTGTATTATATTCATTAACACACGCGCATTATAGAGCAGGCAACCTCAAAAGACGGCCGACTTGCTGTTCACGCTTTCAATTTCTTGAATATATATCTCAAAAATGATTGCATAAACGGTCCAAAAATGGTCTTGACCAGTTTACTAATGCGTTGAAAATCCACGATAAAATTGTAGAAATTTATATGAAAAAAATGCTAATGTGTGTTAGAATATTTGAGAAGTAAATTAAAAATAAATTGGAATTAAATTTTTATGGTCGTATTAACGGATCGATCAGGACCGTTTCTGGATTGAGAAATATTGATCAAGGAATTTTTATGCCAAATTTCAAGAGGGTTATGGGTCAAAATGACCCATACACGCATCACACGGAGAGTACGTTTGAACTCCCAGGCGAAACAGTTAGGATAGCTTACTGAAAAGGCTAGAATGCAATAGTAATAGCAAAGAAGCTGGTGTAAGATAGTATAGGAGGAGTTAGCAAAAACAAGAAATCATAATTAGGATAGCATCAGAAAATAGATGGGTTAAGATAGCTTGAAAATGAAAGGAATAGAATAAAATGAGGTAAAAGATGGGGCTACAAAGAACAATAAAAACGATACCACAGTTTAGAAGGAGGTATTTAGCGATAGTATGACAGAGTATAGAATTAAAATGATAAACAAGATTGAAAAACAATAGGAGAAGAAAACCAAAACAACAAAACACACTAATGAGGAGCTGGGTCGATGAAATGTTCTATAGAGAGAGAAGCTAGTATGGATTAAGGATTACGATAGATATTAGTGATGTTCTTAAATCAATGCTATATAGAATTTTTCCTTTACAGATCAAAACAATCGTGGCGTTAATAGTAAACAACAACTAAGTGTTTTTGTAAAAGAGCGAAAGAAAAAAATAAATTTGTAGAAAATATGAGAAAGCGCGTCAAAGCAAAACTATAAAAAGATGGAGAAATATTTGATTTAACTAAAAAAATATTTAGATGAAAAAAAGCAACAAATATTTATATTAGAAACTTTTTAAGCGAATTTTATTTTTCTTTGAAAATTTCTTTACGTTACTTTTGCTTTTTATTTGTTCGAAATTAATGAAATCATTTAAGAAAGTTAAGCCAAGTTCAAAAACTCGAATTCTAAATGAATTCAAGTGTTGTAGTAACCAGTAGCTGAAGACCTATAGAAAACGACACCGCATTCAAATCACTCTATCACACCCTAGCCAACATTACATGCACCGGACGTCATTATATAAGCAGTTAATAGCGCCCGTAAGGCATATCACACAATTATTAAACTATTTTTTTAACTCATTGTTCCCATGGGTTAATGCAAATCTTAATTAGATAACATGTACAATTAGATGTGTATGTGCAAATTTAAACTCGATCAAGTACGGTTCACAAAGTTTGCACTCTATCTAGTAGTGTGCGCAAGGAATATCGCACAAATGCTAAGTTCCTTGTGATCTTCTTCTTAATGTAATTCTTAATTAGCTAATAATCAAAAAAAAAACTAAAAATTTAAATTCTACCCTACTTGGCCTACGATAGACATGGACCAGAGTGAAGTAGAATACGATTGTGAATCAAAGTACAATACAATGAGGACGAAAGCGGAGCAATTATTTATATATATATATAGGAGAAGGAACCCAGGTTAAGTACAGTAACTATGTCGGCCTAAACGCAGTCTGTAAAAGAACTGGCAACACCTATAAAGAAAAGGAGCTACTCCACAGTAATATCTAGTGTGCTTAAACTGAGAGGCTAATTAACTTCTTTCTCGCAGGATTACTATGACACAACGATTAACGTTTCGATCTGCTGCCATGCTGTTCGCTATTCTCTAGAAAAATGACATGAAAAGCAGTAGCAAACGATAGTATTATTAAAACAGAACAATTTTTTAATAGTTTTGCAATTTGTATTCAATGCCTCAGTAAAAGCAATTTATGAAACATATTTTCATCAGATTCTTACAGCTGCCGCAACCATGAAAAGTAATAAGTGCCCTCTAATCGAAATCGAAAATTCTCGGTAATCTTAACTTTTTCACATGCTGTTAAGCAGAAATCTGGAGGAAAAATAAAGAGAAACGTGAGTAAACCGTTTTTTTCTGTTTCAGTTGAAATCTTTTATTCCCCTGTTATATCCTATATCACTTGTGATAAGTGTTTATTTAATCTGACAGGATCATATGGCCAAGGCTTACAAAGGACTTAAAATAGACACCAACCGATTCAAAATCAGTTTCTAAATCGATTTAACCATGTCTGTCCGTCTGATCATTAGACGTCTGTCTCCATATATGTGTAGAGTCAACAATTTTTAAGATATTTTTGAAAAATTTTAAACATTGGCATACGTCATACATATAATAACCTATGTTGGAACAGTTACTTTATAACAATAACTTACGATATTTTTTAATATTTCTCAACAAAAACCGTTGAGAAGAAGTATTTTAATGGACCTTGTGAAATTTTTAGTATTTTATACTGAACATTATGTACATTATGACACAGTATGATATCTGCATCCGATGTGGTAAATTTGGAGTATGTAAATGTTAGGACACCATTGTGGTAATAAATTTGCAAATAACATAGGTAAGTAACATTAGATCAAGCGTTTATTGTCAAATCTACTGAGGTCGATGTTTTGAAATTTTGCTTTTTACACTCTATAGCACTCTATACCACTTGCATTACAAGCGCGTATTAGGCATATATTAAGTTTGTGCGGGTGTATGCAAAACCCAAAAGGATATGAGGTAGACCCACCTATAGGTTATGCCATTCAATTCAGAAAGCGATTCCGAATCGATCTGAATTTGTCCGTCCGTCTGTACAGCGTTCTGTTACCTTATGTTCAATACAGAGACCACAAAGTTATGAGATATTTTTATGACCGTTTGATACACTGACTTATTTTGCTCCAAGGACGAAGGCTATTAAAAATGCTTCTCATGAGACCACTTTTTCGAATAACTCCCCACATAACACCTTATTTCGAAAAGTCCTTATATGAATAATTGTAGAGTGGTAGGATTTTACTTGTTTTGTGTTACTACTAATGCGATTATCCTTATTGTACGAGCCGTGATTTGCCTTCATCTCTTCCCGTAAAAGAAGGATGTGCGTACAAGATAACTGTTAAGAGGATGTGTACCAGTTTTCAACAAATTAACAAGTCTCCATAGCACAGAGGGGACTCGGGAATGGGCAATTATGTCGTAGTTGGCTTAAAATTTGTCTCCTTACTCTTCAATATATGCGTTTCTGGAGTTTATAAATAGAAAAAGAAAATTCGTATATCCCCTATACGACATAAATAAATGGGGCTCAATAATACGAATCGCTTTGAATAAATTCTGAAGTAAAATAGAATCAATTAAAAACGAATGCATGAATTTCTTTTTTAATTACTTACTCAACTGTTGCAGCACATAACTGTCGTCGTTAGGCATATAGCGTTTAAATGTAATAAAATGTAATTCAAATAACTTTATATTATTGATTTGCTGGAACGCGGCATCGAAACTTAACTCCAATGCTTCTTCATTTTTAAAAAAAATTGCCCCTAAAAATGAATGAAATTAATTAATTAATCCATACATTCTTCAGATAGTTTAGCTAAAATTCTTACCCACTTTTACTTCCGTCTTCCTTTCATCCATAAATTCTATGGAAATTTTTAATAGTGTAATAAAAAAAAATTCACGGCACATGTACATTTTTCATTTGATTTCATTTACTGATTTAATAAATTCGGTTTTAATCTTATGATAAATAGGAAAATGCTTGAAAAAAATTCATTTTAATTATTACGTAAATTAGCGGAGCTTCTTGATGACTGTTGTATACATATCTATTACTTGTTGCTGGGGGTTTTTTTTTTTTTTCTTTTTTTTTTTTTTTTTTTTTTTTTTTTTATTAACATATATATTTTAATGAAAATATATTTTCAAAAAAATTGCAAATCTCATCTCGCACAGAATTCAACATTCTTCTCCATTGCTCTCGTAAACACTATATATATATATATATATATAGGTGTATAAATATATATTTATATATTTATATTTTTTACGATGATATTTTGAAAAGCGTCCAGACTTGTCGCGTATTTAGCACCAACTGATTTTTCCGCGTTTTACGTTTGTGATGTCGGTCTGAATTCGACCACTCAACGCAGCATTTAGGAAGCAAACAAACGGCGATAAATAATAAATTTACATATACAAATTTATATTTATATATATATATACAATATAAAAATACATATATATATATCTAAAGAAATTCTTTCATGGAAATACCGGCAAATAGTAGACGCCAATAAACGCAATGCAATCATGCTCAGTCATACATTTCAAAATATTTTCAAATTCAATAATTTTCCGAAAAAAAAAGAGAAAATTTGAAAACATACGAACCACCTTGAATTTGAAATGTTTCTAAGTAATCGTTTATGTTATATTTTTTTTTTTTTTGCCTTCTTCCTATGCGTTGGAAGGAATATATGAATAAATTAAAGAATAAATTTACTTTTTGACATTCAGTTTTGAATATCGGTTTGAGGTTTTGTGTTCTATCTCGAATATTTCGTAATATATTGGAAAAAGAAGAAATTAACGAAAAATTCGAAATTCTTTTCATCACCTGTTCGCAGACTTTTTATTCGCCATTGGTAGACCGCGTTACAAATCATAAACATGAGCCAGGATATGTTTTTATTAGATTGTCCCACTTACGAGGACTATTTAGATACATTTATTACACGAAATGATTACCGCTTTATACGAAATATACGCTTCTGTCGTATGCTAGTCGAATTGGGTTATCGTTCTTCAACTGAAATTTATACACCTGAACAATTTGTTTTGCATAAAGCTGCCGCTCAAGAATCCCTATGGCCCACGAAAAAATCGACAATATTCTTCAGTGATCATTTGAAGAGTTTAGATCCAGTCTTAAGAGAATTGGCCATACGTGAAAGACCAAATATTCAGAAAATGTTATCGGTAAGTGAGATTTTTAAATTAATTAATCAAGGGGAATTTAGATTTTTGTCGCCTGAGATTCATTTGGTAGAGAAATTAAACTAGTTTGGAATCAATTCTTTTATGATCCGACCCAATTCTTCTTTCACGCGATACAGTCTGCTACTAGTCTACTACTCGTTTATGCTTTTTTTGCCCTTTCCTAAGAATCGTCATTAACTGAAAATTCCTGGAAATTTTTCAACTCATGGCATAGAACCCATTATATAGGAAAGTTTGCCCCAGGATCTGCTCTAAAATTGAAGTTACAGGAAGAACAATTTTTAACACAATCGAAGGAATTGCAAGCACTTTGCACATTGTCTTTTACTATAACTAAAATCTCTACCGAACTTGCAGTTAGTCGTGGAATTTCCCTAAATAACCCCCGAACATAGAAACCTTTGACCAAACAGCAAAACTAAAGGAACAATGTATAAAAATTCACTAAAAACGGGTTAATGATTCGGAAAAAAATCTCGCAAGTGAAAAATTTCAAATCCTTTCACCAAAATTTAGCAGATGCGTCTGGCCTCAGACCGCTGTTTGAAGATATTCACAAACAAGAGCATAGTTCACAATAGTTTTCTTAACCCGCTCAAGGTCACATAGGGACTTTGATAGCGAACTTTGTAGTGGCTTTGAGTTATGGTAGGGGAAACGCCTGCGTCACATATGTGTAGTAGTTGGTAGCGAACGCGTTGATAACTTATAATAGATAGCGAAGATAGATACTTAAATTTGAAAATTCATAAGCAAGAAAAACAGCAAAACAGATACGCTTGTTCAAAGCCATCGCCTACATGAAAGCGTCTATTACTATACCCTACACCACTTGTGGCAAAGGATGTATTAAGTTATTGAGACAGAGACATCCTAAGCTTGTCCGTTCGTTTATCCGAATGTTCGTTCAATGTCTGTCAATGCGTTCCTTGTTCAACCTGTAGATATCAAGCCTCGAGATATTTCGATGAAATTTGATGCACTGATATGCCCTGGCGCAAGGGTTAACGCTTTTGATAATAGTTCGGATAGAACTACTTTTCCGACATTATTTTTGAAAAACCTCTACATGAATAAATGTAAAATGACGGACTGTGGCGTGGCCCACTAAAGCGTTTTTATTTGTTTCTACAAAAACAATACCTCAAAGTTCACTTTGCCCATCAGCTATAATAATTAAAGGTGTCAAAGGCGTTAAAAGTGGTGGAATGTTCGCAGTACCCTCACATGGACCACAAGTAGGTGGTGTGGTTGGTTTCTCAATCTGCAGAAATAAGCGTTTCTTGATCAATACAAATTTTCAAGTCATTGAACTCATTGATAAAATCGAGATAATGAGGAGAATCATATAATTGTATCATATATCGCGCAGAAAAAGCTATTCACAGTGGGGCACACGCTTAACTTCACAAGGCCCTCTCATCTTTCGAGTTAATTTTAATCCCTAAGAACATAATAAATGATCTGATTTTAAAGAAATAAGTCGCTCGTATTAATAATAAAAGCTTAGTATTTCGTCAAACCGACACTAGATAGCCGGCTAAAGCCTATTTAAACTAACAAATCCCATTTAAGGTTGATTTAAATATTTGTACATGTGTATGATTTTTTTATTTTGCAGACCATTATCTTCCTGAAACATCGTTTGAAATCCGGTTTCGAAATATCCGGTTACATTGATTATGAGCACAGTTTGAGACGTGCCAATTTACACGCCGAGGATTACATTGATTGGGGTGGTGTTTTTGAGGAGCGTGTTGTACTAAAACCGAAACGATCGCATTTAAGTTATTTCGATTGGCATAAGGGTCACGTTTATTATAATAATTCCGATAATTATGCTGTTGTACATGACGTGGAATACGGTTTAATTTTTATGCATAAAGGTGATCATAAGAAAATCTGTGTAGATATTTCACGGGAGTTATATAGTAAAAATTGTACAACAACAATGTATTTCTCCGAAAAATACGGCCATGTCATATTTTATGATCACATCATTAGAAAGAAGATTTGAGGTGAGCGGTCGCTGCGGCTATTTTCGAGAAATTTTCTTTTTTTTTTTTTTATTCATTTTCATTACTGCTTAAGATTTATTAACTTAAGTTCAATATTATTAGTTTGTTAAATAAAATTTAAAAGGTTTAAAAAAAAAAAATTAATGTGAAAAAGTTTAAACAAAAACAAAAAATTAACATGAAACAAAAACAAACAAAACAAAACATAAATAAATCAAAACAAACAAAAAAAATACGTCGTCTTATTTCTTTTTGCATTTTTTTCTTTTTCTTTAGTCGTTTTTGTAAAAATAAACATAAGATTTAGAATTTTGAGAGCAAAACAGAGAACCAATTAAAAACAAAACCTAATGTTAATGATCATAAGAAGCGAGGAGCACATGTATAAAAAAAAATTATGCTTTTTGAGGATTTTCTATTTACATGACTTTGTTGTTGTTGTTGTTGCTGTTGTTATTGTCAATATTTGTCTTTGCTTTGGCAAAATTTTTGTCAATTAATTTTCATTTTATTTTAGCCATTCGTCGTTAAAACACATAAACGCGAAAGTGTGTTAATTTTATTGAAAGTAAAATTTTCATTAATACCAAAAATTTTTACATCATCATAAAATTTGAAAATTTTAAGAAAAACAAAAAATTTTAAAAATAAATTTTTAAATATGTTAAGCAATGTTTTCGTATAGTTTAATAATAAATTTTCTCTGCCTACTACGGCTGGTGCATGGCCAAAAGCCTCAATATTCTATAGGTAAAAAGAAAAATACTTAAAAATTCGACATATTTACCATTTTCTAATGTTACATAATTTTGAGCACTGTTTCAATTAGGGGCAATTTTTGAAACTGGCAGTGATGATCTGGCGATCGCTTTTCATACCGCTATCGAACGGGCCAATATCTATGAACGCAGTTTCGAATTGCTACCAATTATTGTTTACGTCGATACCGAGGATAGTTTTTTAATGGAGAAGACAGGTAAGCACTGTAAACTAATACATAAAGAAATAGTTCGCTTAATACTTGAAAAAAAACACATTTTTCAGCTTGTAATCTTATCTCGGAAGAAGGAGTAATCGCCATAATTAGTCCGGTATCTGGAGGATCAGGTAACAAAAGTGCATCTTTGAAAGAAAGAAGTTAAATAACTCTATCGAGTATTCAAAGTATTCTGCACTTGAATCGGAGTTCTCATAGTTGAAAACATTCTAGCATTGAGCAGTTCGGCTCGTTCACGAGAGATTTATCACATTGTTAGCCACGGTTAGCCGTAGACTGCTAGCGATCGAGAAATAAACCGAAAAAATATGCGCTTTTCTGACAAGTGTTAAGAAAAGCTAATGAACGCGAATTCAAGCTCTTTACTGTTATCCAGTGCTGGGGTAATAAACTATTCTTTGAGGGGAGCATAGATGCGCCCAAACTCTCACCTCCTCGTGGTGATGACTGGAAACGGTCTCGACAAACGAAGAAGTGTTTAAGGCTTGGACAACCTATAACTTGGCGACAAGTTTTCTAAAAGCTAGCTTAGGGGTACACTGGAAGAAGCACACTTTTCTCATAAACTATTGCTAAGAAGAAAATACTAACCAACTAGCTGGTAATGGTGGAGATGTTGTATGTAATGTTTACCACAGTTACGGCATAGTTGAGCAGACGGACAGATGGATAGACGAATGGACGGACAATCTTATATGCATTCCAAATTTGAAACTGCCCAAGAATTTATATGCTTCATGTGTTCCTTGAGGCTTGTTGCTGGGCATTGTAAAGGTGTTGAGGAAAAAACTAAGTCTTTATATGCTATAATATTGGAAGGTGGATTCAGCATCGCCCACAGAGTAGACATTCAAGTTTTCGTACAAGTATCCGCTGTAGTCTATGAGTAATGAGTAAAAAACCAATTTTTTGTTCCTTTTGAAAAAGAGAGGCGTTCTCAGTTAATATGGTGTTGTGGACACGTCCGTTAATCAATTTCAATTTCAATATCGACCTGCGCGCAAGAACTCCCAATGTTTCGACCATTGAAGTCATTAGCTTCATTTTTGCAACCAAGAAAATCTTTACGAGAGACCTTACACAGACGGACATGTTTAAATCGATTCACAATTTGATGCCAATCAAAAGTATGTATACTTTGTGGGATCTCCTTGCGGACGTTGCAAACGTTTTAACAAATGAATATAACGCCATCCTTCGGTGATGGATATAAAAATAGTGAAATTATTTTCATACAACAACATTGGCGAAATACAGCGTTGAAATAATTCATTTTCATGGGGTTTGTTCTTAGCCCAATACATGCCAGTGTTCGAAATTTCACCTAATCATTTGAAAAATAAAGACGATGGACTGAACGCAAAAATAGAAAGATTGGCGACGAAAATCCTGGCTCAATTCGACTGAGAAACTGAGTCTGAATTGATTGATGCCATAAAAGATGAGTTAACCCAAGTGTTTCTAGTTATTCTCTCCGCACTAGCTTAATCTATAATTTGATAATGGGTGTGGTATGGCGTAGAAAGATGAGTTGATTCATCGAATAACCAACATATTTTCTTACATAATAGATTTCATATCTAGATTTATTTAGAAATAATTTTGAAAATCTTTTTAGAATGTCAGGCTTTTAGAATTAAGAATCCATATGGGGCGGCTTAAAAGCAGCTCTGCAATCAACTGTCATACGTTTAGAGGATCTTCAATCTACCTGCTTCTCTTCTTTCAGATATTATCGCCTCTATAGCCAATACACTTGATATACCGCATCTTGAATACGATTGGTCTCCCAGTGAAGCTTTGGATAAAAAGCAGCACATGGCGATGACATTGAACGTGCACCCAGATAATCTGGATTTAACTCGTGGCTTAGCGGATATAGTTCAGAGTTTTGGTTGGCGTTCTTATACCATAGCTTATGAATCGTACACAGGTAAGCCGATTACTAAATTGATTTTAACTAATCCGAGCATTGACTTATCCTTCGCAACAGAATTGCAACAACTTCAAGATATCCTACAAATAGGTGAACGTAACAGTAATCCGACTACAATGTTTCAATTGGCTGATGATTTTGATTATAAGCCGATGTTAAAAAGTATTAAAATGTCTACCGATAATTGCTTAATTCTGCACTGTTCCACTGAGAAAATTGTGGAAGTCTTAAAACAGGCAAAGGAATTGAAAATGTTGGGAGAATATCAGGTATTTGGAATGAAAGCTTTGAAAACCCCGCTCTATCCCTTTATTAAAATCCGGCTTTAAAAGCTTTTTTTTCACGCCAAATATCTGATATTCTAACCGACTAACCTCTTGTAGAGCATTTTTATTCCGAACTTAGACACACACACAATCGACATGCCCGATATTCTGACCGTTGGAGCTAACATAAGCACTGTACGTATAATGGATCCGACAGATTTTCATGTGAAAAACATTGTACACGATTGGGAAGAACACGAGAAAAGAGAAAAGCGCTACTTTAGAGTCGATCCGGATCGAGCTAAGGTTATAATAAAAGGCAATTAAAACGAAACATTTTTCATTTTCTCATTATTTTCTCTAGACAAATATGATTTTGCTGAACGATGCTATTTGGATATTTGTCAAAGGTCTTGCAGAGCTACTCCAAGAAGAAGAACTTCAACTACCAAAGGTGGAATGCCGTAGAAATAGATCTTGGCCTATGGGTAGACGTATAATAGAGTTCATGAAGGCGGTAAAACAAATCTTTCAAAAACTTGTCTTCATTTTTATACTTTCTCTTTTTGTAACAACTTAGCGATCCGACGAAGTAGCTACGGGTCGTGTGGATTTCAATCAGTATGGACAGAGAAGTTTTTTCACCCTGCGTTTTTTGGGCTTAACACAAATTGGCTTTCAGGAGTTAGCCACATGGGATCCTGTTAATGGCCTACTGGCCAAAGAAAGCGATGATTTGAGTGATAAACTATTAGGACAAAAGATGCAAAATAAAACTTTTATTATCACATCACGCATAGGCGCACCGTTCCTAATGTCAAGGTTAGGACAATACTCATACCCTAAATACTATGAAAAAATTTAAATTATTTTTTTACCATCCGGAACATAACGGTATGTATAAGCATTGAAAATGCAAAAAATTGTAGGTATTCCCTGATCGACCAACAGGTCTAACTAGACTTAGCCGTATATTTTCATCCGTCTATCTTCTTGACATTTTCGTAGTTACCACGAAGTTTAAACATGGGCTTGCAGGCTCTAAGCATAAGAAGTGAAAACCTAGCGCACTTTTAGAGAGTGGCCATCGATTGTTTAAATAGTTTGGAACAATTCCACTAAACAAAAAGCATAGGCGTGCACTTATCTAGCCCATTTCATGACGAATTCCATCGACTTCATTAAAGACTTCTCGGTTACACAAACCGGTCACCAAAGTTTTCGAGCTGTTGGTTTTGATAAAGTATTTTCACGACAAGTCTTTTTGAAAAGCTTTCGAAGCCAATGTTGCCTCGTTTTCAGAATGCAATTATTTTCAACTGCATTATGAAACGGAAATGCCTCCTTTTGGACTATTACTTTTCTTACACCCTACATTACGATTTGATAGGGTGCCAAAGTTATGCCGCTTTAAGACCATCTATTGGAAGAAATGCCACGAACCTTTTCATTCACGCGTACTGTTCTCCCTAATCACTAACTGCATAAGCAATAATAACATAAGCAATCAACCAAGCAGAGCATTTATTGAGACTAAGTCGAAATTCGACTTCCTTTCTTAGTTGTCACTATTATGTTCATTTTAAGAATTTTGGTACATTTTCTTCTTATGTAGAGAAGCTGAAGAGGGAGAGATTTTACAGGGCAATGCACGTTACGAAGGCTACTCAATGGACTTGATTGACGCAATCGCCAAAAAGCTTGAATTTAAATATGAATTCCAATTGGCACCAGACGGTCGCTATGGAAGTTATAATAAAGATACTAAACAATGGGACGGCTTGGTGCGTCAGATATTAGATGGGGTAAGTAGATGTCACTCTCATAACTGCATAATCAATTCAAATTAGTTGCCGAGTATTTGTGTGTCAGAATGCTGATCTAGGTATTTGCGATTTAACCATGACATCGTCGCGCCGTACCGCTGTGGACTTTACACCTCCATTTATGACATTGGGCATTAGTATTCTTTACGCGAAACCTGAAGTGCCACCAGCTAATTATTTTTCATTTCTTTCGCCCTTCTCTGTTGATGTTTGGATGTACATGGCCACGGGTTTTCTAGCGGTATCTTTGCTTTTATTTATATTGGCACGTATGGCTCCGGCCGACTGGGAAAATCCTCACCCGTGCAAAGAACCCGAAGAACTTGAAAATGTATGGACTATGACGAATACTACTTGGTTAGCAATAGGATCAATTATGGGTCAAGGTTGCGATCTATTGCCAAAGTAAGTAAAAATACAAGACCAAAAAAAAAATTATATTTGCTTCGCAGCGAACTTTTGGTACTCATCACTTAGAACACACAAAACGAAGTAAAAAAACCATACTCGGGCAAGACCAACCGTTAGATACCTCACATCACTTCGCCTAATAAGTCATTTATTCATTTTCGTAATAATAGTCCAACAAATACTGCACCATATTTTAATGTACAGATTTATTTTTCATGCAAGCCCTTACCTTGAATGATGCTCACAACATCAACTAATATGAGTCAAAACTTAAGTTACTTGTCAAAGATTTTATTATTTTAGAGTTCCCCATAAAAAACTGCACATAAGTAGGGCTTGTTTTTCATAAGAGCTCCTACGTACGGTGGTGTCTAAAAAATACAACTATGTAATTCAAATTCCTCATGATAAATTTTGATGGCACATTGCTACTATGATTCAATTTTCATCGTAGAAAAATACATTTTATACGGGTATTTCATGGTAACTCTTGCGCGCCCTGATATCCAATAAATCGATCCGCTTAATTCAAATTTGATACAGTTAAGCCTTTTGTCAAATTACTTTTACGAACCATTCTTCGTTATAAAATATCAAAAACAGGATAACTTTGCCGTATAAAGTCTTATATTTTGTCAGGACCCTTGTAAGGGATGGGGTTGAAAGAACAGACCTACGGGGTCCGAATTTGATAAGGTTAAATTTTATGTCAAGTTATTGTTATAAATGGACTTTTATCAAGAAACATTGAAAATTAGCTCCTTTTACCATATAAAGATTCAGTTTCTGTAGAAGCAGAGGTATCCGTAGATTGGACACAATAATACATGGAGAAACGGACAGACAAAGATGCAACCTTAGATTAATTCAGAAAATGATTGTGAGTCGACCGATATAATAAAAGATGGGTCGATCTCAACTCCTTCTGGCTATTAGCTGTGTCCACACAAGGTTGTTGTACCTTGTACGATAGGTAACATAAAGTACACTTAGAAACTATGTCGCGAGTTACGGAGTTAGTTATTTGATCATATTCTTTTTATCTTTCTATCATCTTTGCATGCGAGTCATACCTATTTTTTGTGTAGAATATCAGACGGCCCATGCAAACAAACTTCAGAGCAACATGTACTTCAGTGCAATGTTATTTTGTGCTATTATAACTACATTCTCTTAAAAGTTTTTTATATCCTTTAGGGCTGCGTCGACACGTTTGGCAACCGGCATATGGTGGTTTTTCGCTTTGATGATGTTAAACTCTTACACGGCGAATTTGGCCGCCTTTTTGACTATGTCCCGTATGGGTTCTTCTATAAAGAGCGCGGAAGATTTGGCTGCTCAAACTAAAATCAAATATGGCGCTGTAGTGGGTGGTAGTACTATGGGCTTCTTTAAGGTATTATTCAGAACCAAAGCATAATAATAACTATCTATAAAAGTTTTTGAAATTTCCAGCATTCTAATTTTACTACCTACCAACGCATGTGGGCCGCGATGGATTCAAATCCCACTGTATTTACCAAAAGTAATAATGAAGGTGCGGAACGGGTCTTAAAAGGTAAACGTTTGTACGCATTTCTAATGGAGTCCACAACGTTAGAGTACATCGTCGAAAGGCAATGCGATTTAATGCAGGTGGGAGGATGGTTGGATTACAAAACTTACGGCATTGCCATGCCATTTAGTGAGTTTTAAAGGTTTCGGATGGAATTTTTATTACTAAAAAAAAATTATTTTCTAAATATTTAACGCAGACTCTCCGTACCGTAAGCAAATAAGTGGAGCTGTTCTAAAATTGGGTGAAGCAGGAACGTTATCTGCATTAAAACGTAAATGGTGGAAAGAAATGCATGGCGGTGGTAATTGTACCGTAGCCGAGGCCGCGTCTTCCAGCACACCTGAGCTAAAATTGGTTAACGTCGGCGGTGTTTTCTTAGTATTGGGCATTGGTTTATTGTGCTCAATTGTAATAGGCCTAGTTGAATTCCTATGGAATCTTAAAACAGTTGCCATAGAAGAAAAAGTATGTAAAAAAATGCCGGATATTTGTTCAATCACAGGAAACAACTGTTCTCCATTTTCTTATAGATTTCGCTGAAGGAAGCTTTAAAATTAGAAACCATGTTTGCTTTAAAAGTCTGGATTACTACTAAACCGGTACGTGGTAGCTCTGAGAACTCTAGCAAAAGCTCTTCGTCCAGTAGCTCCTCTTCGCCATCAACACACTCTAAAAAGTCAAGACGTCTTTCTATTAGTCACAGCATGAGAAGCTTGAAGAGCTCTATACACGAAACCATGCAAACCGCTGTTGGTGCTAAAATGCGCAAAATTGGCTCAATGTTCTCTTTGAAATCTATGCATTCTGGAAAACCTGAAATCGAGATAGAACCACCCTCGGAAGTCGACGATAAAATCGACAAAGAAGAAAAAGCGACGCAGATTGAAATGGAAAACTCTCAAGAACATCGGCACCGTCATCATCATAAGCAAAGCCATCGAAATCACTTGCATCCGGACGATATTGAGCAAGATATTCAACGTGAACCACACAGAAGAGATAGCAAAGCGAGCGGTAAAGCACATTTCAATGTTTGAAGACAAGGAAATAAAGAGGGCATAGACTTAACTTCAGAATGGCTTTTTAATGAACACTCTCTTTCGGAAGTTTCTAAGAAGGAACAAGAAAAAATAATAAAAATTCATTAAGTAATTCCGTAGATTTTTTTTATGGCCAGCCACTCACGCCATGCCCCCTGTATACATGGGCACTGTGGTAATCACGAAGAGTTATACGATGAGAAAGGGAGCAGTGAGCTTTCAATTTGAAAATAGAGACATCAGATACGGTAGGATAGATTGTTCCAAAGGTGGCTAGTAAGGTTAAAAAATGACGTAGTGTGTTGTGCGATATGCCGTTAACTTCAGGACTAGTGGGGGGACCGCGTTGTCCTGTTAAAGGACTTGATTGGTGGATAAATTTCTTTTTCGCTGTAGAACGTTTGCACTGGATGTATCTATATATGAGCACAACGTAGCCCACATTACGCCAATGTTCAAGGGTATCCGGACTTTTGGACATACTTTCGCCACCCATGACCAACTGAGTCTTACACTATAAACAATTATAAATAAATAAAACAATTCATTTCTTGCAAAAAAGCATTTTTCATGAATACTACGAGCACATGCTGGGACTTTATAGGCTAACGTTGTCCCCGGTGATTTCTAACTTAATGATAATAATACACTAATACACTAGCAGAAGTCTTTAAAAATAATGAATCTTCAATTAAAAACATTTCTCAGCAAAGGCAGTGTGGCTTCACCAAGACCTTTGAGGGGATATGAGGCTGAGAGTGATTCGACTAAATTAAATTAAAACTGGAAGTTTGGAAGAAGCTTTTGGTGCTGATTACGGATTCACCTGTGCTTTTGACAGATAGAGGAAAACAGGCATTTTTGAGGTTATAATGGGCGAAAGAAGGGTATGAGACGAAATATTGGAGCATGAAAGAGAATTTTTATGGTCCTGGGATTACAGACTAATAGAAAAAATAATGACAGATTTCTTATAAGAAGAAAAGATGCCACCAACGCATTGCCGAAAAACTTACTACAATTTTCATTCTTTTCAGTATCTTTAAAATAATGTTCCGCAGGGTAGCAACGAGTATTTTTTTGATAGATCAATTGAAATATTTTTATTAATAGAATTTTGTTTTATTTTCGTTTTGTTGGTTGGAAATTTTGAAATTTTGCATTCAAACACAACCTAATCACAGAAAAATCAAATTTTCAAAGAATCTTATGTACTGCGCCAGCTGTAGGCATGTAAACTAAATAACTTTGTTCCCTACAATACCACCGGGCCGCAGAACTTCTTTAATTGCACATGTCTCACGAGAATGGCTCCAGTGCTAACATTTTGCGATATTTTCTAAAACAATTTTTCCCACTTAAGAGTACGATTAATCGCCTCCTCAAAGATTATTTTTTTACTAAATTTCCTTCTATCCAAAGAAAATTGCAAAAAAAATCTCCCTTCTTGGGTGGCTGTTACTGTGGTCTAACATATGTATTTTTTCTAATGGACATTTTCACAATATTCATAATTTTTATGAATATTTGAACTCCTTATCACAAATGAACCTGCAATTAAATTACTTAAATAACGGTGCAAAAAATGTCCTTAGTTGGCTTTCCTCTACGATTAAATTTATTGTTTAATTTGATTACAACAAGTTTGTTAGATTTAAAATATCATTATCGAGGTACATTCACAGTTGGTTTACAGTGGATTGTTTCACAGTTTTCTTCTTAATGATATTCACATTTATATATTTATATTTATTTTTATATTTATATTTATATATCTTCTCTGATCATTAGAAAGGTAATATTAAAATGATTGTCTATGTTAAACGAATTTGAGAAAACTAAGGAATGTGATTACAATGATGATGACAGTATATGTAAATATGATCAGTGCTTAATCAAAAATCCCCACAAGCGTGCTAAGGGCTTTAGATATCCTACATATGTACCCTAAACCGTGAGGATGCATGCAACATTCAGGAGGGCTCGCGATAAACTCACGTTTTATTATACTGTCCAATCCAGAATCGTTTTATAATTCGATTGAAGCTTGTCTCTCCATCTGTCCGTCTTCTTTTTTTCATTTATTCAATCTACAGACCGCAATTTTTCAGGTATTTTAATGAAATTTATTACACAGACATGTTTCGACGCAAAAAGGAACGCTATTGAAAATGGTTCGGATTGGACTGCTTTCCCGACCACTTTCCATATAACGGCTTATTTTAAAAAGGTTGTTTTATAAATAACTGTATGTGTATAGTGTTTTTAATTAAAATGAATTTAAATAAATCATTAGTCATTAGTGTGTGTGTGCTATACTTCTTGACATGAAAAGAAAAATTATAACTATTATAAATATTTTAGCATTGAATAAAATTAAAATTAAACTATTTTGGATATTCAGTAAAAGTTAAATGCTCTTTAAAATAATATATGGAAATTTCTTTTTCCTTTCAATTTCTGTTTTGTTTTATACAAAAATTTAACTAATCGTTTAAAGTAATATTTATTTTACTTCTCGTTCATATTTTGTCATTCTTTGGCAGCTATGGCAACCGGCGGAAATTGAAGCTCATCAAATAGTTTACTGGGCGTGTCGATTGCATCACATAGGTTACGAAATTTTGCGGATTCTACTGAAGAAGAAACGAAATTAGATTTAAAACAAATCCAAAAACATTAAAGGAACACTTTTTATACTATACATATATTCAACCATCTCTCTGCCCAAAATAGTCAAATTTGACTTTTCATACCTGTCAAAGCTGTTATCGTTTGATCACCTTTAACAATGCTGGCGTACGAGTTATCTGGTACAATTTCAGAATTTTCTATTATAACTGTAACATCCTCTGCAGTATCGAATTTTAACTCCTTGGAATATTCAGCTTGTGGACTTGGTGGAAGTGAAGTAGGTGTAGAGCTTCCTAATCCACAGCACTTATCTATATTAAGTTCTTTAATAGGAGTCAAGTTAGCAATAATAACATTCTTCTGAATAGATTTACGAACTTACCAATTACTCCTTCTAAAGTCCCACGTAGATCATGTACATGCAATAGTTTACAAGTGCCACCTTTTTCGGTATTGAAATCATAAATATATAGGAAACCATCTTCAGAAGCTATCAGCAAGCGTGGTTCTTTTTGTATTCGTGCCAAGCCGCAGGCATGTTTAAGGCCCGGCTGAGCTAAGACGGCAGTGGCGAAAGCCCGATCTTGAGCTAAGATATCACCAAGTTGAGAGGGCAGCAGGTACGACGTCACAGCTTTTGTTAGGTAGCCACTCATTAACCAAGACTGGCTACCGCAGGTACTAGGGGTGGGAGCGTTTTGAGTGGCAAATTGTAAAGAATTCGGAACACTATTACTATCCTGGCTATCATTTTCTTCAGCCAGTTTGGAGTCTTCATGATCTACAATTTCGGAAATTTTATCTATCAAACAATTTTTCAAAAATTTATGTATTTTATTTACCACTTTTAGGTTTCGCTTCAGCCAGCTCTATCGCTTTCGAGTCCACCTTAAAGATATGCACCGTTTCTGTGTTCGAAGAGGCACACAAATATTCACCATTGTTTGAGAACACTAGCGATGCTATACGCACGCAACGTTTCACCCCTCTTCTAAATTCCTGAATCCGTTGACCATTTTTCACGCAAAATACTCGTATCACTGTTCCACGCTCTGAAGCTGTCGCCAGCAAACTGCCGTTCGGGGAGAAACTTAAGGCCGACAACACACTATCATGAGCTTTTATTATTAAACCAGTTTTCATTTTATTGACATTAAAAATGCGTAGTTCTCCAGTCGATGTGCTAATAGGAAACGCTAAATGGGAGTTTAACGATAGCGAGCACAAGCCCAATTCATTTGGCGGAATATTTTTAATGGAATTCAAAACCTTCATATTACGTATATCGTGGATATGTATATCTTTGGCCAAACACACCACCAAACGGCAACGATTCATACGTATACAAAGTATATCGGAGGGATAAGAGCAATTGCATATCTCTTGTTTCTTTTTGAAATGCAACATTCTTAGAGATTTGGGTTTTAAATCAGTAACCAGCACAACCAGTGAACTATTAAACAAACGCTCAACTATTCGTATATTTTCCGAATTTTCCGTTGAAAAAATCTCATCAATTTTATTACCAGCACTAATTGCAAATAAACGGAAAGAGTTGCTTGTCAGAACCGACACGGAGCTGAAAAATAAAAAAGAAATAGCGATAGTTTTAAAAAGTATGTAATAATTTGTCACAGAAATATTTAAAAAAAAATAAAACTTAACAAAAAAAAAAATTATCTCATCCGGGATTTGAACCCGCGTTCTTAAGCGGAAGTCATTAATGCTCTTTCTTTTTTAAACATTCATTCTCATAAAAAGGAAAATTTATTAAAAACTAGTACGAAGTGAAAATCAGAAGAAATTTTAATTTTTTTAATTAACTTAAGAGCAAGCTGGGCCAACTTAAGTGAAAGTATCGAAAAATTTTCTTCCGTTTACTTCAAGCAGGAGACATAATTATTATTATTTTAGAGAATATTTATGGCATTCTCAAAAGGAATTTAGCAATTGGAAAGACTTTCATTTCAATACTAAATAGCACAGTTATATGTTATAATCTCAACAGATAGCATCGTTATATTTAATAAAATGTAAAGGCAACATGAGCGGAACTATTTAAAGCTACTTGCTATTTAAATCGTAAGCGAGGCGCTTTTCCTCCTTATGTTGACGAGTAACTGCCTCGCTTCAGTAGATGGATAACTGCTAATTAAATATTAAAGTTTACTTAATGATAAAAAATTGCTTGTCAACATCAACGTGAATGTCATCGAGAAAGCGAGTAATATAATATGCGTCGCTTGAGGCCTATTAAAGTCGAATGGACTTAATGTTCAAGTGTGCATGTTAGGATTTTGTATGTAGTGAAAAGCATTTGTGTATTCTGACTATCAACTTAACTCTAGCACTATATGGGATATATTGTTGTAAGTATTGTCTAAGCTTGACTAAGAATGCTATATTTGTAGCAAACATCTATCTATCCAATAAATTAATAAATAAATTTTTTTATATTTTGCACTAGTTTCAAAGCCACTTTTTCACAGCTAAAGCAGGGCACGGTATTGCGCGACTGACTTACTTTTATTATATTCGCAAAAAGAACTTAAGGTAGTACTAAAAAAAACACTATCACTCCAGTCACAAAAACCCCTTGGAAGCACAAGTATTGAAAATAAAAGTGCATTTGAATTGGCAAACGTACAACTTCCCTGATTTTCAGTTCAATCAGTCGCGCATTCAGAAGAAGTTTCGCGAGCAACTTGGTTTCTTAATTAGCACCCAAGCAAGCATCCATCTCGCAAAACAACAACTCAATTTGTACTACTTTTCTTATTAAACAACTACTTGAAATGTATTATTAACTGCCCTCTCGGGCCTTCAAAAATTGCCGTAGTGGACGGTATTGCACGTCCCCATGGCGGGGTATTGGTTAAAGTTTTCAACTAGCAATAATCGCACCTCGGTAGAACCTCATTGGTTACGATATCGCCTCTGCGCAAAGCTGACCTTAACTTGAAAAACATTCATCTCTTATATAAAATTAAACATAAATCGAATGAGAATTATACACTTAAAATGAACGTACACGCAATAAGCGATAACTCTAAAGCATAATTTTTAGGGATGAAATAAAATTTTTTTTGTATGTAGATGTGTGTATATATATTTTCAATAACAAATATTTAACCTACGTTCAATCGTTATACACACACTTGAAAGAAACAAAAAAATAAAGAAAGAGAAAAAAAGCAACAGTTACTGTGTCTCGTTTTTATGAGCAAATATTGTAAAAATCAAACAAACATTAGAAATTTGCTTTGATTTTTACTTATATTCTTATCAAACATTACAACGGATGTGTTACGGTCGATTTTTTTTTTTTTTTTTTTTTTTTCTTTTTTTTTTTTTTTTTCAATTTTGACAAAAACCTGCTTTTTAAGATTGCCTTAATCTACACGAGTTAAAAAAAAAAAAAACAGGTCGTGCGATTATTCGCTTATGTTTATATAAGTAAATGAATGCGTAATGAGGTCGCGAAAGCTACAATTGCTTTGCAAGCAAAAGCAAAATCTTCTAAAATGATTGAATGAATGAATCATTGTTTTAGTGAAAAAGGAAAGCAATTTGTCGAAACAGAGAAGTATTACTACTAATGGAGAGAGACATTGTGGCGCCTATGGAGTATATTTAAAATTCATTTATAACTAAATGTAAATATTTATACAACCTTTCCATTGTTTTCCAATTTGTTTCTTTTTTTTTTTTCATTAAGTTTTTATACTATTTTTTTTTTTTTTTTTTTTTATATGAACACGTGATATTAATAGTTTGTTTTTATGACAAAACGTGCTGTGCACAATAAACTAATAAAATCCATTTTTTTTATGTATTAATATAAACAGACAATGTATAAAGTAAACAATGGAATAAATAAGTAGCTTGGGCTAAAAAAATTTCCACGGATATGTTTACCGTTATAAGTTAATGTCAATACGTAAAATATATTTGCAAACGTAATCTTCTTCTTTTTTTTTTTTTTGTAATTACATTCCTATACACGACTGATTGCGGATGTGACTGTCTTGTTGCTTCAAATTGTTATTATTATTATTATTATCAATTAAGGCGTGGTTTAAAGGCGAGTGGAGATATTGGAAAATTATTTGCCAGAATTAAACACCACTTGCCATACTAGGTATAATAAGCTCAGGCGGTTGTTCGTAACACTGAGAAGGATTTGAAAAAGAATCATTTTTTAAATCGATCTAAACTTGTCTGTGTCGCAGTTCGACTAATGTCTGTCCACTTTTTTCAACCTACAGGTCGCAATTTTCCTGTTATCTTGATGAAATTTGATACACTAACATGTTTTGGCCCAAGTATGAACCTTATTGGAAACATCGCACTTAAGGAAAGGAATCTTCAATAGTAAGAAATCTAATTTTCAATACTTCTCGATGAAACTTCGTTCATAATAATAAAAGTTGACATAAAAATTAACCTTAACGTATTACCTCTCGTAGGGCTATTTTGTGCATCCTAAGCCACATAAGCCTTTAAAGTAAGTAATTTTTAAAACTTTATAATGGAAATTGGTCCCTAATAAACACTAGGGCATAGGTCTATTTTTTAAACCGCAAATTCACAAGACAAATTTGAAAAACATTCGTTGATGTTTTGAGTATCCTCCAAGGCTTTCCTGAAAATTGTGCATGTATATAAAATTGTAATGCAAAGGTTTCGGTGTATTATTTAAAAAATGAGTGAATGACTGCATTAGGCGAAAAAGTGTATGGTTTTTTGGTCATGGTTTTTAAATAAAACATACTGGTGGATATCAAACACATTTTCTTTGTTCTTTGTTCGAGCTATTAAAGACAAAAGAATTGATTTTTGAAAAATTTTCATATACCAAGAGTAAAAGTCCACGAAGACGTTATGAGGAACCTAATCGCCTGCTAAAATACTTGGACTTTTTACTTATGAAGGTATATTTATCCAGATCCAACTAATAGACAAGTAATCAAATCGACCCATTAACATGTTCAGGACTAACGAGAAATCTCTTTCTCTCTCATTCTCTCTATCTATCTTCTGTATGAGAAGTTGACCCTTTTTTTCTTCAAAACTTTAATGCAATTTACAATAACAATTTGTGTATCATTTACGATTGAACGGAGACACAAACTTTAATTTCGCATTTTTTCGAAGTCTTTTTACCCAATAACACCATTATTTCAAGTTTTGCTCTTTTTTTTTGACGATAAGTAGCAACAGCTACTTTTCCTTTGTCCTTTCTTATCAAAAATTATTTAATTTAATTTACTTTCTCTCCTTTGAATAAATTTAAAAACACCTTTTATTTCTCCATATAAAAAAGTTAATGTAAAGAAAAAAAACTTTGAATAATATTGAAAACAGAAATAAATCAATTGATTACGAAAAAAAAAGTTCTTATTTTTTATTTTCAATAATGACATCATTTTAGTTGAACAATTAATTTTAAAAAAGTAATTAAGTGTTATTGCATTTCGTACAAACATGTTTGTAAATAAAATCAAAAATATTTATTTATTTACATTTGTATCTAAACGTATCTAATGCGATGAATAAAAATACCAAATACCAACGGAAACAATAACAAAAACATTGTATGCAATAAACAATAAAAATCAAGTACATAAATAACATAAAATGTAAAGAGAGCTTCGCGTGAGAAAAAAAAAAATATTATTATTGTATATGAGAGTTGAAAGATGAGAGGAAGTTAGCCATTAGTAATAAAACACATACAAAAACACTATCTAACATAACATATTGTTCATCTATGCTTCGCTTCTGGGCAATTGTGCTTGCTTTTGTACTCACATCTCGGAACAGCTGACTACAAGATAAAGCATTTCATTTTACTTCATTTACTTATAAAATCAATTATTTGTATATACAGCTCTTAAATATATGTATAATGTTATCTTAATGTATATAATAATCTTCTTAATATGCAGATTTTTTTTGTCATTAATATTTACTTTGTTTATTCACTTTGCTTCACTCTACATTAAGTATTCTGACGAAACTTGGACACTCCAAGCAATCAAGAAGTTTATACTTATCTCACTCATTGTATTCATATATACAAATTCATATATTGGGCGCTACAAATGCATTCACACCAATTTCAAACGTAGCGCTAGCTGGCAGCGAGCAAGTAAAGCTTTACTTACGTCTGTCAATGGAAATGATTAACAGTAATGCTTGATTTTTAAAATGCAAACGTTTGAAGACTTTCTAAAGGTACCTAATAAAAATATAAGCCAGGTTACGCACACACACCGTTAATAACAGTTAATAATAATGGGCCACAGTTCCCCAGTGAACGCTCCACACCATCCTCCACCGCATAAAGACTTTTCAAAATTACACATTATACGGGAAGTGCTCTAATAATTGGTCCAATTCAAACTATTTTCGATGGCGTTAATTCTTATATCAAAACAAGTTAGTGGACCTTCACACTAAGTCAACAATTGTGGCCTGCAGGTTGACCAGAAGTACGCATAAACGGACAGGCGAATAAACATAATAAATACATACATACACAAAGTTGATATCGGAAGCATCAGCGTCCCGATTAACTGACCTTTTTTTCTTTGCATGGAATTGTCAAATATCTGTCGAGGAAAATACTTTGAAAGTTCGGACTTATCAGTTCTTTTTGCATTATTTTCATGACTTTCAAATTTCATCTACTGCATATATCCAGCTATCCTTCTGATCAGGAACTTCTTAGAGCCGAGTGCACATATTTACATATCTTACTAAATGAAATCAAAAGTAGGTAGAAATGTTTTCAAAAAAGCAAAAACACATTTTCATTATAATCAGAGTACAATTGCAAGCAAGCTAAAGTGTTACAGGCAGGTAAGGCGGTTTTTATATACCCTACACTACTATCAAAAATCACACTTAATCACCCTGCAAATACTTACTCGTCATGGTAATCCTCCCATGAAAGGGAACCGAGATGAACCAACTGTATCCATGTTCGGCATAAAATGACAAAAATTAGACCTTGTTTTTATAAGATGTGTTATATGGGAGGAATACCAAAAATAATTGTATACGATCTATATCTCCTACATTCTCTACCAATTTTTGTCGCGAAATATTACAATTTTTTTTACATAAAAACGTTTATTATATGGTCGTTCATACGGTGCGCAAGAGTACAAACAGTTTCGTCCAATCCATTAGTATTTGTCCTTGAGTCAAGATATTTTAGTGTACCAAATTTCACTAAACTGCAGGTTGAAGATAAGATCGGATACAAGAATACATGCACACACGTTAACGGACCAAGGTAGTGGAAAAACATGCTTAAGTGGAATCAGAAAACTGCCTTCAGTTGAGTAGTGTATTAACAGCCGTGATTTACCTCAAATCCGACTAGGTAGTAGCATCAATAGTGCTAGTTATGTAGGGTATAAGAACTCTACCTACCAACCCACGCTAACTCTCATAAAAAGTGGAAGAGCTCAAGTATTCAAAGTAAAATATTGAAAGAGAGTAAAAATGCAAAAACATCTGTTTTAGAGAAATATAAATAATACTTGTATACGTTTTATAAGAAGTATAGTTGTTAGAAAATTATGCTTTTTTGTTTTGAAAGTAAACAAAATTTTTTGTGTACAATTTATTCGACAAAATTCGACAAAGAACTCGCTCTTTGTTTACATTTACTAAAGCTAGACCATTTTAACAGCTACGTATATGTAAGCACTCAACGTCCCCCCCTCCTCAAGTACATAACAAAAAAGTAGTAAAACTTAAAATGATAAAAAAAAAAGTCTGTGTTGCTAGGGCAGTATTGCTCTCTTCTATTTTGAATTACTTTACTTCGCTTCTCATTCCACTTGATTATTCCTTATTGTAAGTAATTAAATGACCTTCTTACATATTGTTGTTGTTATTTTTTTTTGTTCACTTTTTCAAGGCTTTCCAAAATCAAATTATATTTTTATCTATTTTTTTCTCTTTAATGTTTCCTTTCTATTTTTCTCAAACTTACGTAAAATCTTGATTGAAATTCATTTTATATTCTTCAGCCATTATAATAGAATTTTGCTTTCAAACACTTCTGGATCCAAAAACAAACTTTATATTATAAATATATTCTTCAATATTTTTTCTTTTGTCTATTGTTTAAATTTCACTTTGCTTTGCTTTTTTGCTATTTTGAAAAAAATTTATATTATAATAGATTTACTTTCTATTATTGCAATTTTGTACTGTTGTTGTCTTCTTACTTTTTGTTTATTACTTGACTTTCGCACAAAAAAATTGTAACTAAAATAATTTCTGCTTGTTTTATGATTGTGGTGTTATTTATTTTTATTTTGTTTTGTTAGCTAAATTCTCTAAAGCTTCTCTCTATCACTGCCCCCCTTTCTCAGGCACCATCTCACGATATTTCTTGAAAACAAATGTTGTCAACTCTCCATTCTGTCAGAAAGGCGAGCTTAATAAAACTTTAAAAGTAAAGGTGACCAAAGTCACTAACCAAATCAGCTGGTTGTATTCAAACAGGGCTATTCCAAGTGAATAATTTTTCTACATACTAAATTAACTATTAATTACTATTTTCAAATTATTAACTATTTTTCAAATGTTTAGTTTTACACAACAATTTTTCATTTATTTGCCATTAATATTTTGCAAATGATTTTACAAAGTATGCATATAAAAAAAAAATGCCGGGTGACTTAGAGCGCGTCTGTGATGAATCTATCGCCTGTGTTAATTTTTTTGTTTAAATAGGTTTGATACAGATTTTTTGCATTGATTCTTTCATTATAAATGCCGACGGCTTTTGTTAATTTGGTCCGTTAGATAATGTTAAGTTTTTGTTTTGCCGACGGCTTTTGTTAATTTGGTCCGTTATTTTGCAGAGTTCGACCCTTCTGGTCTGTTAAGTTGCGCGCTTAACATAGCTGATTGGCGTTAACATTTAAGTTGTTAAGTTGGGATTTTAACCATTTATTTATTATAAGCGACTCTGTGCTTTGCTTTTCAACAGGGAATTTAGCGAGGGCGTTGTTTAAAAATTATGACGGTTTAATTCTAAGCTAACTTGTAAAATACAAGAAATTTTAAATGTTCGATATTAACCTTTGACACATTCAATTAGGTAAAAATCTTCACACTTTCAAGCATGTATGACATTGAGAATCTATGACCAAGAAAATAGGATAACGATCATTTAAAGTCTCTGAAGGGCTAGTCAGCAAACATTGTACGAATATATGTGTACTAGTTATACATTTTAACTCACCTCTCTCCATAGGTATTATGCATACATTGAGTTAAAAGTTGACTCTTGCCACTCAGGCGGATAACTTGTAAAATTTAACAAGTTTAGTTCGCGTATTCTCGAGGTGATGATAGAAGAGCGAAAGCTACCAAGTCAAGGAAAAAGAATCGGAAACAATCAGGAAACCATTAAAACCATTAGAAAGATTAACAATTTCTTTTATATATATATATATATTTTTTTTTATATATATTAATAAAGCTATTTTAAGTATATAATAAAGCTATTATATAAATAAAGCTATTTATATTTAAATATAAATTATATAAATTAATATGAAAGGCCAGTTTGATTTTCCCAATGACAAATTAAAGCGGTTGAAAAAGTGTTTGTTGCTATAAGCTTCAACTAGACGATGGGTTATTTAAAGTAGTATTTATTTCTTTGAACTAGTACGAGTACGACTTAAACCCGATAGTCGCCACCTCTTTGGTCGGTTTGCCATTAATATTGCGTCGTTATCTTTTTCCATTTCCTGAACTGGCAATTTCCTATTGACGCCTGGTGTACTTGTTTCAACAGCATTTTTAACAAACTCCCCTAATTCTGGTGTCGTAGTCTCGGTTTGTCGTGTGTTTCTATTGGGTGTCTCACAGAGTTGGGGTGGTCTATAATTCAATTTTGGGTTTAATGATAACAAGTACTTTTTACGCCACAGTATTGGAACATTTGAAGTCGAATGCCCCGTGGTACACGCTGAAGGACTTCGGATAATTAACTAATAAAGGAAACAAAAATGAAAAGCTATGCATTTTAATTAACAGAAGCCGTAGAATAGCTTTCTGTTTCTGCATTGTACTATTAATTAAATTAAAATACAAAACTGTCTGCAACAAGTCACAATTTCAATTTCTAAATAAAAATCAATTGCAACTGCAATTGATTTATTATAATATGAAGCCAGTAAGTAGCTGCTAAATCGAAGCTCTTTGCTAACATTAAAAGCAAAGAAAGCAACCCTGATTGGTATTTTTCTATTTGCTTTTGCTTGCTTACCTTTTTGATCAACATTGTAGTAAGAGGAAAAACTGACATTTTTACATTAAAATTGACGAAGTGAAACTTTTTTTCCTATTTTTTACACTTGCAACAAATTTTGCTTTAGTTTTTTTTTTTTTTATTATTATTTTGCGTTCTTTTCTTCAGTTTACATTAAGAAAAATTAAATGTACAATTTCAAGTGCTTTTCTATAGAAAATGTGTTCAGAGAAAAAAAGAAAAATTTCGCAGTGGTGAAGCCAAGAAAAGCTGAAAGAAGAAAATTGTGTAATTTGTTCCACAAATATTCAAGCGCTTAGCTTTGCTGGTTAAATAGTTTTTGGGGCTATGCACATGGAATGCTCTTTAAAGTAAAAAAAAAAGAAGATATATTTTAAGAAAAAAACAAACATTTGGTCTTAATTGAAAAAAATTGTAAACAAATTGTAACAAAGATGCCCTTAAAATTTCTTAAAAAGTATCGTCAATATAATGTGACTTCAAAGAGCCTGTTTGTCATCTCGGTGCATCATTTATTGGGTAAGAAGTACTGTAGTCTCCTAAAGTTTCCCTAACTTTAAAAGTGGACAAACTACTGTAAGCAAAAAAATAAGCCTGTGCATGTGTGCGAGCGCCTTTATTTCGTTATGCGGGAGTCATGTTCCCATAAAAAAAAAGTTGAAAGTGTGTTTGTGAGTAGGAATTCATTTTTATAAGGCATAACTTTTTAATCTTGGAATTTTGCTTTTATTGGCATTGTCTATGCAGTCGCTAACGTATGCAGTTGTTTGTATATATGGACATATTCGAAAAGTGCAAGTGCGTTGACGTTGTTTTCTTCATCTTTTTTCTTTTTTTTGTCTATGTACTCTGTAATATAGCAAAACCATTGTTGGCTTGAAATATCTACGTATCTGTGTGTATATTATTGACACAAGTTTGTGTCGTGTCGCATTTATAGCGAAATAGCAAAGTACAACAACAAAAATGAAGAGAAAAAATTCCTATCGCATGAATGCGCAAACGCCGCTTTACAGTTGTAAAGTACCGAAACGAAGCCAACAGATTTTACCGACAAGTTCGAAAAGCAAGAAAAAGAAAATATGTTTATTCATATGGATTTTTCTGTTATACTATATATATGTTTTGCTCATAACGCCGAAAGTGATTGAATACACAATGGCAGATGCAAAAAATGTTGAATGTCGCTTCCGCTAATCGTGCTTTCAATAATTATCATCATCATCGTCATCATCATCATCATCATCATCATTAATCACCTGACTAAAAAAGTAAATCTCTCAGAAGACAGTGAAGCAATGCGTGAGAAGTTATATATTTAAAAAAGCCGATTTTCTTATATTTTCTCTAATGGATGGGACTTTCTTTTAAACTCAGTTTTTATATATAAGTCAATATTGAACGAATGAAAAACATTTCTTGATATTAACTGGTGGAAAGGTAGCTACTTTGATGTAAAATTATATATGTAGGAAGATTGGTGAACAATATTCCTTTCGAGCGTCAGATTTTTTCACCTGCACAGAAACCTGATGATTCCAAGTCTATCCTCATCATCGAAGAATGAGGTGTATTTTCATTTTGAGGTCCCAAAAAGTATATATATTCTTGATTAACATCAAATTCTGATTCGGTTTAAGCATGTCCGCATGGCCGTCCGTTTTCCTAGTCGCGAAACTGAACCCATCGATTTCAAATTTGGTAGAAACGTTGAAGGCCTTCGCACGTTGATTGGTATTGAAAATGAACCAAACCGACCAGAGCGCAAGGGGGCAGTGAAGCGTAAATTGAAAGCAACATCGTTTGTCTAAGCAAAAATTTCTGGGGTTTTGCTCGTTACTCACAAATTATAAAAGATAAAAGCCTGAAATTTTCCATATTTATTGTGTGAAAAACTCTGCTACAATGGGCATGCCCACACAGCTTTTTCATTTTTTTGAGGTCTTATGCTTATTAATCATAAGGTAAACCAAGCGAAATATTTAAAACGGTTTTATACCGCAATTTATTCTGCCTAAAAAAGTGTAGATTATAAAATAAATATGGCAACTTTATCGTTGCAATACCCTTGATGTGATTATCACATAAAATGACTTGGAGAGTAGAATGCAAAAAGCTAATTGTGAATTAATTGTGCTGGGCATCACGACATAGTGGACTAATTTTTTCTTAAAAATATCGTTCATATGAATGAGGCAATAAAGGGGTGTTCAGAGTAGAAAACAAAATACATTGATTTTAAATTAATTATGGTGGACGCCACGACGTTATAGATTATTATTTTTTATTCCTTTTAGTAAAGGAAGAGATACATGAGAAATTTTATCCCATTTCTTTTTTTTTATGACAACAAGTAAAAGCAAGTTTCGGCAGTAGCCGAGTATAATTTTCTTGCTTATTTCGATATTCCTTTAATTATATGTTTAAATTTTTAGCCTCAGAACATCTTTACCACTTATAACATCTACAGGCGCATATGATCTAATTATCCGGCCTATTTTAACCATATCTTGCTAATTTATTTATAAAATGTATGGATAATGAATAAATAAGCAAAAAAAAACACAAATTTTTCTCGGAATATTTTCGAAAGCTTTTGCAGCTTTTAAGTCGACATTTCGAAATTTTCAGGTATATTTATCACGGAAAGAGGGACGGATAAACATGCCTACATTGATTTCGAATTTAATGTTAATCAACATTGCCTATGCTTTTGTAGGGTATCTGAAGTCTCCTTGTCGCTGTTGCAAACGCTCTAACGAAATCAATATACCCCGACTCTTTCATAGAGCGTATAAAAACAAATAGTTTCAGATGAAAAGCTCTTTTTCGCAACATAGTGTGCTTCGTAAGTGCCACCTAATTAAAAATAATAATAATGATCTAAAATTAAGTAGATATAAAGTCAAAGTTGGAACTATCCATTTTCTTTTCTTAATTTAATTTAATTTAATTTGATTTATAAAAATAATTCACCGACCTATAAATTATAGGTCTTTTATAGTTCAGTCAATTAACATTGTTTCGTGGGATATTATAAGCAACATTTAAGAAAGATTTTAACAGCAGTAGTAAGAGTAAGTACTAAAATAGTAGCGTAGCTGCAAACAGTACGTACGTATGTATGTAAAGTAGTAAACAATCAAGTAATAACAAACCAAACCTAATTTAGATTAGAATCAAAAATTATAAGGTGATAAAGGTTTTTTTCCTACGCAATGGATGCTTTAGGCCCTCTAGAATACGTTGGCGAAAATTCTACAGTCGCAAACAATTTTCCTCTCGAGTTCCCAGCTGGACATGGCGATTGATGTTACTGTATGTAATTTCCAGAATGACTTAACTAGTCTTTTACCATAAATGAAAATATTGCAGATAGATATTTGGACCGAATCATACCATTTTTTGTGTTGAAACTGCGCTCAAGCGGACTAAGGAAGCTGAGTCGCCTTTGATTTCTTTTGCAGAGCCACATTATAGCAAATAATCGAGGAAAGAAAACGAGGAGGAATATTGGAATTTGGAAGCTGTGTTTTATGATCTGGAATTGCCGACCAATACAAGGAAAAAGGAAAAATTTTTATAGTAGGAAAACATGTCCGAAGCATGATTCTTCCGATTGGTATGCACCACCACTCAAACAATTCCCAGTTTTTTTAATCGCACAACTCTCCATATATCTGTAGATATAGGGATGAAGATTTTTATACTCACGTAAGCAATTTCTGTTTTTATTTTTTTTTTTTTTACTCTCACTTACAATTTCTTTATAATAAAGTCAATTTTGTGTGTGTGTGTGTGTAAAACATACTTAAAAATTTTGTGATATTTATTTATTGGTGTTTATTACATTTAAACTTGGCTGACGCAGGCCACAATAATTTGATGCAGAGTGGAAATATATTCATCAAGCAACAACACATTCAACACCATTTTCATCCCGTGCGGGGTAATTGCATTTACTGCATGCGCTTATGATTACTAAATTGGTCTTTTGCTTAAAGCAGAAATTCCAAAATTTTGGCAAAAATAATGAAATCAAATAATCGTTTTCGATGCTTTTACATGTTTTTCTGCTGCATAAAGTATAGAAGGGGATAACTAAGTATGGAATTAACCAAAAAAAATATCTGCGAATGAAAAAAAAATCGATGGCCGTTTGGGCCAGTCAAATTTGATATGAAAATTATAATAAAATATCAAGTTAGCCATTATTAGCACTAGAAATAAGTTCTCGATAATTTTTGATGAAATTCAAACTATAGTTAGTGTTTATAAAAAATAAAATAATTATCTTGTCCTTTTTTTAAAAGAAGATATGCACACAATTCTTTTTCTGTCTTTCACGTTCCATGTAGCTTTTGCGTGAAATTGAGCATCTTGAGTTTAACGGGATAGTGTTGGCGCTCGTCACTCAAATTAAAACCCAATGGTGTGAGAGTTTTTGCTCAACTGGTTATAGCCTTTGCTCAGTGTAACCCACAGAAAGCTTTAGAGGTAAGCAAAAAGTTAGCTAAGCTGGAGACTCTTACCACAGCTTCGGAAATCGATGCCTTGGAAGTTCAGTTTGGTCGTTTCCTATAAACTCTCATTTTTTAAATGCCACGATAAATACAATTAAATAAATTAAAATATGAAATATATACAATCTCCGATTAATTTGATAGATGAATTCTGGACAATGAGTTTTACGAATAAGAGGGCTGAACTCGCTCTTGCATGATGACATTTCATAACAATCCACCGAATATTGTGGTCCCTGATACTCGCTCAAGGAAAGAACAAAGTACTAAACAAGCTGGCTGGCCTAACGTATCCTTCTAGACTAGATGGACGATTGGCCAGTGGAAAATCGAAAGACCCGTACGGAATTTAGTCACTTAATTCCATATTCGATTGAGTTCCGTGTTCCAAACTTATTGGAACCATATTTGTTAGAAAACTTAATAATCGAAATCCCCACCATTATTATGTATGGTCTTTTGCCGTTTATCAGGTAACTTGCGGATGCCTTCAGAGTCGCCGTTTCACGGTTCCGAGATGAATTAGTCATCAACGAATTTTTGCATATTTTTATGAATCTATTGAAGTTTTCACTTCGTGGTTCCGTGGCGAACTTGAAAGCAGGCAGTTGTGGCGAACATGCCGCAATCGGGAAATATTCCCAGTCCAAGTTGATCATTTGCTGGCTTCATTTTGCTTGAGACGCAAGGACGTATGTAAATTGTCATCGTTTTTTGTATAAAATCTCGCAAACCACCTAACTGCTTCTTACTGCATCTTTACTTCAAGTCAACTTAATAATTTCCTTTAGCTTCAACTGCATTTTTATTCAGTTTAGTTCAATTACATGACATCCTTATCTTTACTCTTTAGTATATAAAGAGCAGCAGCTTGTAAATAACTGAAATTTAGATAGTATAAACGTAAAAGTCAAAACTATATAGATCCAAATTTTCGGCAAAATTGAATCCGATAGATTTTATGAAGCGACAAATTTCAATATAGATAACTTGTTTTTGTAAATGAGATGGAGAGAAACACAACTGTCTTCTTCAAGGCCGCTTCAATCAAATGGTAATGGCCATCTGTATAAAGCTATCATTTCTTCTTCTCACAAGCCTAGAGGGATTTCAGAGTTTTGCTCTTAGATCTTATAATGTCAAGGCATTATCTATGGCATTTTTCTTTTTTTAAATAGAAAACAATGCCAGTTCAACGTAGAATGAAAGGATCAGCTTAATTGGCTTGTTTGTGTCGCGTTTTAGCATGATTTGCCTTCGTATGTTCATAGCCACCATCAACGGATTTCCATTTCCTTTTGTGACTCCAAAGTATGATTCGCGAATCTGATCAAAATGATCAGCGCAAAATTTTGATTCAATTTAACAAGAAGTGATTGAAAGCGAAAAATTGTGGGCAAACATATACACCAATTATTGGTGTGCAACTCGATGCAAAGATCAATAAAGGCCAACTGAAACCCATTCACTTTGTCCGCAAGAGAAAATAATTTCTGAGGTGCACCTTATTATAAAACACATTGACATTGTACAAATCTCCTCAAAGTGTGCTCAAATTGACAGCTCACGCTTAGGGTAATGTGTAATGCCGACAAAACACTGACGTAATTTTCTTAGTTGCATTTATTTACCCACTTTCTTATACATTTAACTAGTAAGGAAATTATATTTGACTGTGACCGAATATTTGATGCACTCATCTTAAAAAAGACTAAAGAAAAAATGAAACAAAATGAATGTTCATAGTCCATAATAGTGGGTTGGAAGCGATTGATTTTTCCGTTTTTGTAAAAAAATACGTGAAGATTTTTATCGTGTGTCTGGCGTAACGTTGAAAAAAGGAGAGAGAAAGGCAGACAGAAGGAATGTTCTCAGTGTATCTTGCACGATAGGCGCGTCCTTTAACCAACAGTGGCCCATTCGCCATATCAGTCTGGGTGAAAAGCTTAAATATGAAGCCGATATCTTCATTTTTGGTGTCAGAATAATGTTTCCCACGAAACGTTACACAAATGGACAGATGGGCATGCTTAACAGCAAAATTTACGAATAAAATTTTGTGAATCGTGGCAAAAATAATCATAAAATATTCCAGTATGGAACTAAGAAGAAGCAACGTTTAGTCACGGGCTTCTGGACGGATCATTATTTCCTCAGGTACCATTCGCAAAACATGGGTATGTCCGATATCGATTTATGCAGACCCAGCCAAGGGGCGAGAGAGACGTCACATCATATTCTATGTGAATGTAAGGCTAACTGCAGACACCATATGTTTGGCGAGCATTTTACAACGACAGACACGGTATGATGTTCCGATCCAAAGAAGGTTGCTGGATATATAAAAGTCCTAATACTGGAGGACTAGTACGATAGATCTTCTAGATCACTGTACGGTTTGCCCACGCAATTAGTAATAATAATAATAATGTTGGATCCAAAAATGATTCTCATTAGTTTAATAAAATACGTCCGCAATTAACTTTCTATTTTTAATGGACCAAGCCAAATTCATTTAGGTAACCTCATTATTGCAACTCTGACGATTTACAGTTCGAAGTTAACCTTCAAATTGATGATAATTTCGTAGAAGTAGTTCTACAACATCACGTGTGCATCAAAATATAATATATATATATATTATATATTATATATATATACATTTTATATTTTTTTATTTTTATATTTTTTTATTTTATATTATTTTTTATATTTTTATATTTTATATATTTTATAATATATTATATATTTGCTGTATTGTATCTTTAAACTCCAATGTATAAGAACTAAAGATATCGACCTCCTCATGCTACATTTTTAAAATTAAAAATCCCTTCAACTAATGGATGCCGTATATCTAGTGTTAAGTCAATTTAGAATGAAATGCCAATCAAGAATTTGTACAACGCTACATTATAGGGCGATTAGAGTTTCTCTCTGTGTGTTGCAAGCGTCTTGACCAATTGGCCATCTTTCGATGTGGGATAGAAAAAGTATCAGAAAATATATTAAATCTGTTTTTATACTTTTCTAGCCACAACTTACGCAATTCTCGGCAATTTCTACAACTCACATATTGTTTCAGGAAAAGTATATGTAGTAGCTGTGTATGCATATCTGAATATGTTTTAAATTTTATATTTATTTATTTATCTTCATTTTTTTTTTATTTGCTTTTAAATATTTTTATGTTTGAAAAATGACTGAAAAGCACAACAGAATTATTTGCTTTATTATTTAATAAGGCAATAAAATAAATAAGACCGTATTTTCTACCTCATGCCGTCACCCTCCCTTCTATTCAGTAACTGATAATTTGTATTCATATTGAATGACAGCTGGCGTTTTGATGTTTTTCTCTAAACGTTGCTTTACGTTTAACGTTTGTAATAAGTGGTTTATTTCAGTTTATTATCATTTCGCATTTCTCGATGTGGAATTTGCGGTCTTTGCAAACAGATACGAGGTCTAATTCGAAAGTTGTTTTATTGAATACTCTTACACCACATATGATACAAAGGAACGTTGGATCGTCAGACCAGAGTTTTCGTATAATAACTTATTTTGAAAAATTGTTGTATGTGAATATTGGTCGGCGGGTTTTTCTTAAATATTTGTGGGTTCAAATCTTAAACGCCGTAGAGGTTCCAATAAAACCGGTAGCCTTAGATGCTGCTGCTTTAAGGTTTTGGTCTTAGAATTTATTTCTCTGACTATTTTAACAATAGTAATAATAAGCCATATTGTTTGTTGTATAAAAATTTAGGTAAAAACAGGCTATGCTACGGGAAAATACAAAAGAGTTACGTTGTTTGTAGGGTGGTAAAAAAAGTACTTTGAAATTTTCTTAAAATGTTTTTTCAAGATATTTAAAATTATATCTTTAAATCCAATACCGGACAATTTGAGGTTATGTAACGTTGTTTGTTGTATAAAAATTTAGGTAAAAACACGCTAAGCTGCGGGAAAGTATAAAAGCTATACGTACAATAAGCTTACTTTGTTTGTAGGATCATAAAACAAGATGCCTAAGAATTTTCATGAAACAAATTTAAGATGTGTAAGGCTGTGTCTGCGAATACAATGCCAGACAATTTGAGGTAATGAAATATTATAGTGTAGTACAATAATTTCCAGTAGACTACAGGACAGTGTATTTTGTACTAGAATAAATTGTATTGCAGTATAGTGTATTTTGTACTAAAATATATTGTACTACAGTACAAAATATTTTGTACTACAGTGTAGTGTATTCTGTACTGAAATATATTGTACTACAGTATAGTATATTTTGCACTGAAATATAATGCACTACAGTATAGTGTATTTTGTACTGGAATACACTATACTAAATTATAGTACAGTATAGTGCATTTTGTACTGAAATATATAGTACTACAGTATAGTGTACTTTGTACTAAAATATATTGTACTACAGTATAGTGTATTTTGTACTGAAATACATAGTACTACAGTATAGTGTATTTTGTACTGAAATACATAGTACTACAGTGTAGTCTATTTTGTACTGAAATATATAGTACTACAGTGTAATGTATTTTGTACTGGAATACACTATGCTAAATTATAGAACAGTATAGTGTATTTTGTACTGAAATATATAGTACTACAGTGTAGTCTATTTTGTACTAAAATATATTGTACTACAGTAAAATATATTGTACTACAGTACAACATATTTTGTACTACAGTGTATTGTATTTTGTACTGAAATATATAGTACTACAGTATAGTGTATTTTGTACTGATATATATTGTACTACAGTATAGTGTATTTTGTACTGAAATACATAGTACTACAGTATAGTGTATTTTGTACTAAAATATATTGTACTACGGTGTATTTTGTACTGAAATACATAGTACTACAGTGTATTGTATTGTACTACAGTACAAAATATATTGTACTACAGTGTAGTGTATTTTGTACTGATATATATTGTACTACAGTATAGTGTATTTTGTACTAAAATATATAGTACTACAGTATAGTGTATTTTGCACTGAAATGTAATGCACTACAGTATAGTGTATTTTGTACTGGAATACGCTATGCTAAATTATAGTACAGTATAGTGTATTTTGTACTGAAATATATAGTACTACAGTGTAGTGTATTTTGTACTGATATATGTTGTACTACAGTATAGTGTATTTTGTACTAAAATATATAGTACTGCAGTATAGTGTATTTTGTACTAAAATATATAGTACTACGGTATAGTGTATTTTGTACTGAAATATATAGTACTACAGTACAAAATATATTGTACTACAGTACAAAATATATTGTGTAGTGTATTTTGTACTGATATATATTGTACTACAGTATAGTGTATTCTGTACTGAAATATATTGTACTACAGTATAGTATATTTTGCACTGAAATATAATGCACTACAGTATAGTGTATTTTGTACTGGAATACACTATGCTAAATTATAGTACAGTATAGTGTATTTTGTACTGAAATATATAGTACTACAGTATAGTGTATTTTGTACTAAAATATATTGTACTACAGTACTACAGTGTAGTGTACTACAGTACAAAATATTTTATATAGTACTACAGTATAGTGTATTTTGTACTAGACAAAATTGACTGTATTTTCAAATCCCACTATATCTCAATTGTAATTATTTAATAGAGCGCTGTTAACTCGTTAACAGAGTTTTGCTAACAGAAATGCTAGGTGTCTTTGATAACTAAATTCGAATTTATCTTCTTATCCTTGAATTAATGTTTGTTTTAAATATGAGAAATTGAATCTTTTTTTCACAGATACCAGCACCACTGTAGATTGCACGATATCGTCGGAAAGTAAAGGTCAAGAATGTCTTGATAATGTGTGTCAACGGTTGCTAATACAACAGCCTGAGTTCTTTGGTTTGCGTTACGTTGTCAAAGGAAAAGAGAATGAATTGAAATGGGTTGATTTGGAGCGATCTTTGAGTCGTCAATTGGAAAAATATGCAGCCGGTACAAAAATCTTTCTACGTGTTCGCCATTATGTAACAACAGGCGTAAGACACTTAAGTGATGAAGTAACGCGTTACTATTATTTTCTACAATTGAAAAACGATATTTATGAGGGTAAAATTGCTTGCGATATACGTACCGCTATACTACTGGCACTTTACTGTCGTCAAGCTGAATACGACAGTTATCAAAGCGACAAACAAAGCAAAGATTATTTGAAAAAATCGTTAGTCTTACCCAAAAATCTTCAAGGTAAGCATTTACACATCTGTGAAATGTGGACTTTACAAGCTTTTTCCTTTTTCCTTAAGCATAGAAAAGTGAAAAGCGTTTATGAAGATTATTCACTGTGTAGTTGTGATTCATTATCACGCATATTTATGATGTTATTCATTCTCTATAATTATTGTTTTAGGTTTAGCAAACGACGATAATCTACTTGACAGTCTCATACTTGAAGTCTTGCAGCAACATTCGGGCATACAACGCCTAACTACTTCGCAAGCAGAAGAAATGTACATACAGTGCTGTCAGCAGCTAGAGGGTTACGGTGAAGAACGTTTTCAAGCCAAGGATAATTTAGGCAATGACCTAACTTTGGGCTTAGCAATTAATGGTATGGTTGTTAGTGCTGAAAACGGCAGACAATATTTTCCTTGGAAAGACTTTCATACAGTAACTATAGATAAACGCACTATACGCATCGAACAGAATAAGGCGGACGGATCTTTATTTGTCGGCTCTTTTATATTCTCTGAAGCCGATACAGCTCGTTACTTTTGGAAACTTTGCATAACGCAACATAAATTTTTTAAGCGCCATATCGATGAAGATTCACCAAGTATGGGCGAAGTTGAGAGTGCAAACGGTATTTCATTAAGCGGTCTTGGAGCGGATACTCTAAATTCAACCTCTTTTAGTGGATACGATTTAACCGATTCCCGTGAAGATTTATTGTTGGAACAACGTGCTATCTATACTTCGGGATCTTCAACCAATACGGTATCTATTGGTAATCATTATCAAACTCAACAGGGGCAGGAATATATGTCAGTAGCGCCATCGCAAATGATGAATCCTCACAGTTCAGCTTTAATGTCTTCCAATATATCTTTGACTGCTAGCCATCAGTCCGGAGGAGGTGGTAGTAGCGGGCGTGGAACTCACGACAGCAATGGTGTAAACGGTAGCGCAATGCATGTAGGACGTATAGCCGGTGGCGGTGGTATAGGAATAGGAGCAACAACGAGCAGTCCCTTGGGGCAAAACTGGCTGAGTAAAGTAAGTTACATGTGTTTTATAAGTTCAATATCAACTTAACTTTTATCTGCTTTAGGAATACTCTCACGACTATGTTTCGTCATCTCAGCATATATCAGATAAAAATTTGGATACCCGTCTGCAGAGTAGCTCTTGCCAGGACTTAAGCAATAACAATAATTTACATAGCAGTTCCAGTTTTTTAAGCCACACAAACAGCAATAACGCTAGCGGTCACATATTATCTGTCGATGCTCATGAAAGAGAACGTCTGAAAGCTATGCTTCCTACGTACAGGCCTGCACCCGATTATGAAACTGCAGTACAATTAAAGTACAGAACACCATCTAATGAGTTGCATAATTTCAATCAATTACAGTATCAGGCTGCCCATAATAATGCAGCTGCTTACTATGCTGGTTCACAGCCCGACGTCCATCAGGCAACCGCGGGTATGTATGGTGAGGGTTTGCTTTTGGGTCATTTGCAAGCTCATCGTTACCCTGACGTAGCTCAACCAGCCGCCGCGATGCATGCTCATCATCATTTAAGTGCTGCGGCGGCTGCCGTTGCTTCTGGCGTCAATCTTTCAGCGGGCAACAATGTCTACATCGATCTATCGCAGCGCTTGCAAATGATTAGATCAAAGTCGCCACCCCCTTATCCCGTCAATCGATTAAGTTCTTCTTCAACACCAGACTTAGCGGTTGCATCCCATCGGCCATTGTTAGGTTACAGAGCTTATGTATCCGGTTCTTCGCCCGATTTAGTATCAAATAGAAATCTTCTAAATACACAATATCCTTACGCAAGTAGCGGTGTAGCAGGTAACAGTAATATCACAACCTCTTCGGGTGCGACAATGATACATCAATATCCCTACATTGGACATATGGGCCATTCGCAAACTTATTTACCGCCACATGGTACTTTCGAAAATCTTAATATGATTGAGGAGCAACCGTCCATTATGTCACAACTTAGGCAGTCCTCTTTAGGTCAGGCAGCAGCGACGGCAGCTAGTCAAACTTATGAAACGCAAAATTCACCTACAATACCTATAGCAGGTTATAGGACCACGACTGTAACGACGTCACAAACTACGCAACCAGCTGACTTACAACACAATGCCATAAATGGTTCCATTGAACCTATATACGAAAATGTACCACTGCCACAATATAGCAATGGTAACAACAACAACACAACTTCTACTGCGCAACAGCTCCGAGATGACGAACAAAGGTCGTCGAGCTCTTCGGCTAATAATAGTGAAACGCTTAGCGTAAGAAATCGTATATCAACAATAAGTGGGCCTCAAAAACAATCTTCGTCGACACACCTACAGCAGGATGACGAACCCGATGAAATTTCTATGAACATAAAAAAATTCAATCATCAAAAACGAAACGAACGGGCGGCCAGCACTGAAATGCAACTACTAGAGCCAACACCACCGCAACGAACCATGAGGGCAGCATCGGCAGCTCCTGCATTGGGCAGTGAACAACCTATAAAAATGACTCCCCCTCCTCGACAACATAAAGGGTTGAAAAATATCAACTCTTTAGCAGCAGTAGATGTTATACAACCCTCATCTGCGGTGACGGTTACGAACACCTTATCGCATAACGATTCCATCGCGCAGCAGTTTTCGGCTATGAATTTATCTAACAACTCGTCATCCATACATAGTAGCATCTTGGATAGCACCACGAAGAGCACAAACACGACAACTTCGTCCACAAAAACTGAAAAACAACGCAAAAAACGTTGGAACTTTTTGGGACGCAGCAAAACGCCCGATAAACAAAAGTCAGCTACACTGGGTCGAGAAAAAGCCTACACTAACAGTAAATTGCAGAAAATCAAATTAGCTCAAGATGATCTAAATTTGCATCATCGATGGTCGACTGGTGTGCCAAAATTACAACCCATTTCCGGGCAATATTCCAAGGATAAATTGGTACTATCGTCTTGAAATGTTTTAAAAGGAATTTATTTCACAAATTCTTTTTTCCCTTTTAGTGTCAAATTCTTCACGATAAAGTGAATGATTCTCAACTTTTTATGGAATTTGAGGCCATACCCAAGCGTCGCGAACTTGCTCGTTATGAATGCGCCCTAATGGAAGAGAACGCTATGAAAAATTCCGACCCCAATTTCTTACCATACGATGATAATCGTGTACGTTTAACACCGACCATGGAGAATAGACATGGTTACGTCAACGCTTCGCATATATCGGTATTGTTTATTATTACAATTCAAAAATTAATATAAATAATTTCGTGCAAAAAAAAATGTTAGGCCACTGTGGGTACTAAGCAGCGCTTCTATATAGTCGCTCAATCGCCGCATGATGATTTGACGACACGCATTTTCTGGCAATGCGTTTGGGAAGCAGATGTTTACCTAGTAGTTCAACTTTCGGACGAGTTAAATTACATACCACCCACTAGCAATCAACGTATGGAGTTTGGTCTGGTGAGCTCTTCAGTTTTGGAAAATTATCGATTGTGACCCATTGTCATCGTTTATTTTAATCCGTAGTTCCAAGTATATCAGGAATTTTCACAAACTACCGATCGTTGCATAACAAGTAAATTACGTTTATATAACATGCAATCGCGGCGTTACCGTTCCGTTTGGCATTTGAATTATATCGATTGGGCTGAACAAAATTGTCCACGTGAAGTGAATCATTTTCTTGATTTTCTCGAGGAGTTGAACTCCGTACGTATGGCTTCCATAAACGAAGTGCCACCAGGTCATAACACCAACCCGCCGGTACTTCTCCATTGTCTGGAGGGAGGAGGACGATCCGGCGTTACTTTAACAGCCGATTTACTATTATATACTCTAGATCATAATGAAGTAAAAGAATATTTCAATTTTTATTCAGTCATAGGAATGGATTTACAATTATTTCTATATTTACCGTTCTAGGATTTAGATATACCTCGGGTCATTGGCCAATTACGACATCAAAGGGATAGCATCATACCTTGCTTGGCGCAATATAAATTCATTTATAGCGTTCTAATTACATACTTAAAGAGAACGAGATTGATTTAGTGCTCGATTCGAAAATTACTTAGTGAGAAAAAAATAGAAAAACATACAAAACACGTCCAATTCTTCTTACAAAATTACTAACAATATGTTAATTAGTATTCGGTTCCAATTTTTTTTCTAATCATTTAAAAATTAAGTTAAAACGAACAACTTGTAGATTTTTTTTTTTTTTGCCACTGTTATACAAGGGTGCTTCCTTTGAAGAAAATTTATTAATAGTAGTTGTAAATATAAATTAATGTCTTTGTATTTTTTTTTTTTTTTTTTGTTATTGTATAAAAGAAATGTGTAAGTATTCATTTAAACTGTATTTTTCCTAATATTTTCATATTTAAACATTTTTTTTTTGTTTATAATTTGTCGCAAACATAATTAAATATGTTGTATGTTAGGAAATAAGAACAAATGTACGGTAAATAAAAAACAAATTATGTGCCTTGCTTTCTAAGCTAAAAATTAAAATAAAATTTATATGCTAAAGAAAACTATTAACAATGTATTTTATTTATAATTCACTTAACTTGAACGTTGTTCATGTCCGAAAATATGATTTATATTTGAAATTTTAGTTTCCTGGTACAGGTTGCTGTAAGAAATCGTAGTATGTCTAGTAAAAGAATATAATAATCGAAGCAGTTGTCATTGAAGTAGTGTGTCCTTAATCAGTTAGCTGTCGCGACCTTTTTGAAAATTGTGCCCTTAAATTCTGTTAAATTCTTTAACCATAAGTGCAGAGTCGTTTGCAAGAACCTAAATGACGTCTACCACTTATTCTCGTTATCGGACTCTTTAAAGTCCATTAAAGCAACATTGCTTAATACGCGCGATTTACCTATGTCATATTTAAACTAGCTTTTATCCTTAAAAAGTCGTTACGTTTCGAAAGTGAATTATTGTCAATTTATTATCGGTTGCCAGGCTTATGCATGTTTGCGATGGCTTAGGGGTTCATTTGCAATTTGGTCCTGTACCGGTTGTAAGTGTGGCCCTATGGTGATAGTGTACATGCTTTTTTTTCTTCTTATTTGTTTTATTATACTTATACTAAATTTTATTATTAATTAATATAAGTTTTGCATTAAGAGCCAATTGAACTTGACTGTTATTTGTTTAGTTGAGTTTCTAGTATAAGTCGAATAAATAAATAAATAAATAAATAACACAAAATCTTACCATCGAATTCAACCGCTATGTACCCAGGGAGTTCCTCATTTCTTTATTATCATTACCTGTAGAAGTCGTTGATTAATGTTTTTACAAACACCTAATAATTGTATGAGCACAGCGACACAATCCAGGTCCCAATTTTTCAACCAATTATTGTTAAAATATTAAAGTTTTATAAAGTTTACATTATTTTGCACCAAACTGAAAGGAAAGAAATGTCCCCTAAGACAACAACCGCATTCTTTCATTTTTTTTTTTGAGGTTAAGTTAAAAAATCGTTTAAATTTGGTAAGAACATTTTGAGTCCAGGCTTGATCTGTTTTTTTTTTTTTCAATAAAATTCGACTCTTAGCTTAATTTTCTAAATAAATCGTCTTAAAGCTTCGTTCAGAATTAAATGTGATTACATATACACACATACAAATGACTTCGCAAGAATTCGATCCGAGTTCAACTTACCGCCAGTTGTTTTTTCGTTGAGACCATAATTAAAAAAAAAAAAAATTAAGCTCGCGTTCTGTACCGCTCTTTAAAAAATTACTTGAAACGAATTATAATAAAAAAAATAATGCCACTAAAAAGCTTTATTTAATACAAAATAAAAAAAAAAAATAGGCTATAAAATAAATTCTGTAAGTTTTATAGTTAGAAGAGTTTGCAAATACGTATTTTCCTCATATTTTCTACTACTTATATAAAATATATTATATTTAAAGACTAAATTGCGCCAACAAGAACTTTCAAGAACAAAAAAAAAACAAAAAAAAAAAAAAAGATGAAAAAATGAATTTTTTTTTTTTTTTAAACGAAATGAACTAATTTCTGCACACTTTTTATATATTTATTTCTTTTATTAATTTTTAATTTGTAAAATGTTAAAGATGCGAATTGAATACATTTTTTTTTAAATAAATTATCTTTCTTTTCTTTTTTTTTTTCTCCACTAAATAAATAATACATTTATTTATATTTTTATGTATATTTTTTCTTGCAACAATAAAATATTTTTTAATACATTATATGTTGTGTTGTTGTTATTTTAATGTCTTCATTTTATATAATATATTTTTTTAAACAGAATATATATGTAAACGATCTTTATTAGAGATTATTGTTGTTGTTGTATAAGAGAATGTTGTACTTGCTTTGCTTGTTTTATATTTTTGCTTCTGATTCCTTATAAATTATCCTCATATATCTCTGTTTATTGCATTTTGTTCATATAGTTTACAGATACATATATATATTTACATGAGAACATGATTGGATGATGATACGTATATTTAAGCATGGAAGGAATTATAGATGCTACGACAAAAGCCCATTCAACTAAAAACTAAGAAAATTAAGACGACAATTATAGTTTTAAATAAGTTATCAAAATGTTGAGATCTTTATTAAGATCCCTTTAATTAAGAGCTTTTGTTGTTAGACGCAATAAACTATTTTATTTAAATACAGTAAAATATTAGTTGTACGTTCAAGTCTTTTAGTGTCTTTTCTTTTTTAACTTTTAATTTATTTTATTTTTTTTTTTGTAAATTTGGCGAAATTTCTACTTCTTTCTTCTACTCTTGCTTTTTTTTGTTTTTGTTTTTTTTTTCGCTATTTTCCTTATACACCACTTAGAAAAGGAGAAAAGTCAGCTTGAGGTCTAGTTCGTAGGCAGAAGATATTTACATACCATGCTGCCAACAATTGAGTGTTTGTAATGACGAACGCGAGTGTTGAAAGCACCGATAGTAGTCCTCTTGTAACTGTGTGCATATAACGTAAGGAACAGAATATAAGACGCACGACGCTTTATTTCTCGACTTTTTCTACTCTTCTACTCTAAATTCTTTAAACATTACTTCAACGAAAATTCGCACAAGTACAGATGTAGTTGAAAGTACTAGTGGCCTTTATATTGCTACGTTATAAGAATTATCTTCACCAGTTTCACTAGATATGATTTAAGCAATCCTTGTGACAATTATTTTATTGGGATAAAATTCTATCTACCCTCAATAGCCTTTAATCAACAGGATAAGATATATTATTTTGGCGTCATCAAATATGACGAATACACGGCTTTAACGCCTCTCAATATACCTTTGACTGTTAATGATCAGTCCCGAAGTGGTCTTAGTAAAGAAAATGAAGTCCATGACAATAACGATATGAAAGGAAGTGATATGCATCTTGTAGGACGAGTAACCGGCAGCATCGACATAGGGCTAGAAGTAGAAGCGAATGATCCGTTACAGCAAAACTGGTTGAATGAAATTGTATACGCTTCCCCAATTAAATATTATTTGTCAGATTTACGAATACTCTGAGGGCCATGTTCCCTTAATCCTAATTTCCGTTCGATGAAAGTAAAAATAAACGCTTGCAAGGCTTGCATGGTTCTGAGGACTTAAGCATTATTAATAACATACACGGTGTTTCCAGTTTTTTAAGTCATATAACCAGTGACACTGATGCTGACAATCGCATGCTAGTCTTCGATCCTCGTAAAAAGTGACATTTAAAAGCTAGCTATACTTTCTATGTATAGATCCATACGGGATTAAAGAACTGCATTGCAATTAAAGTACCGAACACGATCCAAGGATTTACATATTTTGAATCAGTTACAATGTTAGGCCGCTTATTATGCTAGTTTGAAAACTAATGTTTGCCAAACGATTGCGAGTATGAGTGGGCGAAGGCCTTGTTTTATGCCATTTGCAAATTCACCACTGTCCGGACGCAGCTCAACCAGTCTTCATTACGTACGCTCATCTGATGGCAGCGGCTTCCTTTGGTTACGTTGTTAATCTTTCAACGGGCGATAACGTTTACTTTAGTCTATCTCCGAATAACGAGATCAAAGTCACCATTTTCTTGCCCCCAACTACTAACGGTACTTTCTTAGCATTCAAAACGTGAAAAACGTTGCGAATAATCAAATGTCTGAGGTGTCTAGGGCCCGCCTGCAGACTTTCTCAATAATTTTTTGTGCTTAACATAATTATAAATATTTTTGTGTTTAAGAATATTTTCTAGTCTTACGTAAAAAATCGAACCATAATCAATTTCCAATTTTCAATATCCACAACCTTATTATATAGACTTGTTCCACATAAAATTTGGCATTCTTTTTATATTTTCAATATGATGAGACTAAAAATAATAAAAAGTTATAATTACGAATTGCTTTGTGAGTTTTTTAAAAGTCAAATTTTACCTTAAAAAAATCTTTGTTCTTTAAAAATATGCTTCATGATTTTTATTGATTCATTGGAGGCATAGGGGGACACATGGGGCAGCCTGGGGTACCTTGAAAAGAGATTCAAAAGAAAATTTCTAATAAATAAAAAAAAAAAAAATTATTAATGGATTTTTTCACACTAAAATCTTTTAAAGGTTATCATAAAACTTAACAAACGCTCCTACCTATCAACTTAGAGAACTTGTTCGCATTTACGAAATCTATTTAAATAAGCACTCAAAAAAAGCCATATCTATACAGTGGCTCCTAATAAAAACCTACCTATCTAGAAAAAGGGATTGACATGATTCTATAATATAAACCATCAATGATATGTGGCGTCCAGGGAGACCATTTTTTGTAAAACAGCCAATGCTATCCTCCTATCGATTTCTAGGAAAAAGTGAAATTCTTTGAAGAGCACCTTTAATGAAAGACTAATAGTATGTCCCCTGAACGCGTTCGTAAATACGGGATAGAAGAGAGATAGATCGACAATGATGAATAAGGTGTGGCTACAGGACCCAAGAAGTATATATCCGATCGATAAGTCTATCTCTTGTGCATTCATTACAGCTGCAACCACACGCTAATCTGCATAGCCGTGCTTCGAGTTACACCCTAGTATAGTGCCGATATAATAGTCGCTCATCTTATTTAGTAGGCGTTAGCCCAAAACCATAAGCTGCAGAAGGCACTTCGCTTGTCCAAGAAAGGAAAAAAATGCTTTTTTTAGAACGTCAAGAAAATGAAATTAGTAGACAACAGATTTTTCTAATGTTCTAACAATATTATATAATACGCATTTAATCTATTATTCGAATTGTAGATGCACGCGATGTCTGTAGCAGTCCTACATTCTTAGCATTATGGAATAAAAAAAAAAAAAATTGTAAAATGAACGTCAACGTGTCAATTGACGATCCATACCAGATGGGCTTTGTTAAGATAAATTTACGGCAGCTACCTGTGCGATTCCTTTCCACTTAGCTCATTCTAGTAATCATTCCCTAACCACCTTGTGGTACAATGGCATATTAAGTTTGTGCGGATATACAAAACGTTCAGAAGCAATTGACATAAACACATCGTTTATTAAACCGATTTAAGCTGGGCTGTCTGTCCGCCCGTGTCTTGTATTCAACCTGAAGATCGTAATCTTCGAGACATTTTGATGAACGTTTCTGGCGCAAAACACGTCGGAAGTTTTGTACTGAAAATGATTCGGGTGGGACCACTTTTTCGACTAATTTTCAAAAAGCCGTTGTATGAGAAAAAATTTCAAAATTTTTCAACAAAAATGGCTGAGTAGTAGTACTTTGAAATTTTAAATTGATGTGGAAAATTTGCATCAGACGGAGTAAATTTTTAAGCTAAATATGGATCACGCCAGTTGAGATGTCTTGGACACCCTCCAAGGATATGAGGTCTTTCACGAAAAGTATACTTTTATGTTGTGTAAATCTATCTTATCTAATGATAGGCCAACTCGTTACTAAGCGATCAGCCCTTAAAATATATTTCGTCAAGAAGCAATAATTTCCGGAGAAAAGTTGCTCAAGTTTTTTACCTAAGACTGATTCGCTTGTTAATGGTCGCAGTGGAAATTCGATTTGTCACATAATTCGCTTTCGCATTACATCATTGTGGATTGATTCGCGGCGTCTCATACATCGTTGAAGTTTCTTTCGTTCCCCTACTTAAACTTACCATGCATATTGGAATGTCTATGATTGCTATGATGCAACAATGCTGCCGCTGTTGCGTATGGAGGCGGCATGTTTGGTGCTGTCGCTGGAACAGTTGCTAATTGCGGTGGTGTCCCATTTGTCGCATACAACTGAGTATTCTGTGTCCGCATTATATATTGCGGGGTTGTGGGGGTAACAGAAGAAGGTGGTGGTGGTAGAGGTGCAGTCATATTGGATGGATGAAGTGTATGAGGCGGTGAAAGGGCGCGTGTATTGCACTGAGTACTTAAATTACGTGTAGCGGTATTAGAGATTTGTTGTAAAAGACGACAATCCGCGGCGGTATAAACAGAAGATGTGCTCGTATCGTGCTGAGCATAAGAACCATGACCACTGTCATTAGATGAAACGGATCCTAAAACGTAGCGCGACGTAGAAAGAAGTTTGAATAAGTAAATAAGGATGTGCGTGTGGTAATGAGCAAAGAAATCAGTTAAGTTATAATTTTGTCGTCTTAAAAATGTCTCCGGTTTATCTAAGTAAATAATTGATATTATACTAGGAGAGGGCGAAAGCATGAGAAATGAATGCCTACTCACTAAGCAAAAAAATAAAGAAATATAAATATAAAGTGAAAGTAATTATTATTGTGTTACCACACCGTAATTTATTTAACTACGTATAGCTAATAAGCAACAACAGAATGAGAGAAAAAGAGCGAGAAAGATTGAGAAAGAAAAGCACAGCATGTTTGTGTCAAACAATAATTGCATTATTAATTACCATATCAGTAGAGTATTTTTCTATAAAAAACCAACTGGCAAAAGAAAAAGCAACAATAAAAACAACAGCCCAAGCCATTCCAATATGCAGGTTGTTTGTCTGAAACCAATTACTCTACACTAAACTATAGTTACAGAGAGCTGATAGATTAGATATGGTTGGATAATTTTCTATGTAATTAAAACTAGTTTTTATTTTTCAAGAGGATTAAAGTTTAATTGGCTTTAACTACTATTTATGCAAGCAAAATAAATTTTAATAATAAATTGTTAGTGTTTAAAGTAATTATACGAGTAAGAAAAAATGTGGTTTTACAAAACTTACCAGAGGTAACTGATTTTCTTAAGGGTAAATCACGAAAAGTTGTCACACTACTGCTTTCTACATTCAGATCTACCGAAGGTAGCGGAGGTGGAGCAGGTGTATCTGAATGAGAGCGTTCGTGTATCGAACGTACGGGAACCATTGTGGCTAAAAATTTGCAAATGTTTCAATTTAAAATCCATTCGCAAGATGCTATACGATCAGATTTGACTTACCTGGCACTGAGTTGCTACCCGACGCCAATCTACGGTGCGAGCAAGGACTAGGGCTAGGTGTAGAGGCGACTAATGCCGCCGTTGCCGCTGGATTGAAACTGTGGCCTTGCAGATGGTGAGGATTGCTAAGTAATGGCAGATTACCGGGCAGAACAGCCGGTGGTCGGGGAAAAGGTTGATGTGGCCGTTTTTTTGTCGACTCCGAAAGTGAAAGTATCTTTCGCACGGCTTGCGGTGAAGCTGTACCAAATTTCGGACAATTTGGGTTTACGTTATTACGACGGTGATCACTGGCCGAACTCGTCGAAGAGGTAGTAGATAAGGTGGGTGAAGATGGATGACGCTTCCTTAGCGATAGCGAAGAATTTGGGGCCGAAGAGGAGTTCGAATTATGTGAATAAATGCTTAATTGGTCGCCACCGCTACGAGATGAATTGCCACCTTGATGTGAGGATGTAGAATTGCTGGAGGTGTGTGACGGTTCGCATTCCAATGAAAATTTGTGCAGAATATCCTCATCATTAATGATTTTTAGGTTATTGAGATAGGCTTTGACTCGCCGTACCATTTGAGCCTCTTCAAACATTTTTTTGGAATTGGGTGCAGCCGCTGACTTCTTGCGCCTCTTAATAGTCGCTTGCCCGGCATTTGCAGCTATCATCGTAGGACCTCCAGCAGTACCACCTTGTGAAGTTGACATTTGATTCAAAGAAAACATGGCATTTGAAGGCGATTGCCCTTTCAGTTCCAGTATAGCCAACAAATCGTAGGGTGAAGAACACATATGGGTCAGCAATCTTACTTCTTTTGCTATCATTCTTAGCTTTTCGAAATTGATCAAGTTATCCACCCAAGTATCGTTGCCTAAGTGGATGAATGTCAAATCCTTTCTAACGATCGGATAAAAAGGTATAATCGGGTGTTGATTAATCAGTTCGGAGGAAACCAATTGACGATATTTAGACATATTACGCGAAGGATCCATCAGATCTTGCAGATCCGAGAAGAGTCTTTGATATTTGGTGGGTAACTTTTCCCAAGTTTGCCGTAAACGTGATACAGCCGCATGACCAAGCCCCGAAATAATAGCAAACATTGAATTAAAATTACGGCATTCCTTGCAATGTCGCGCAATCTTAATGAATTGTTTCACAATTTTCATTCGACGTACAATATTGTGCTCGCCGCAAATCTCTGTAACCACCCAAAACATTTCGCGATTCACCAATTCGGAGAATCTGCTCAGCATAGGTACGCCATATTTTGTTTTAAGACCAAATAAGTCGTCCACATATTCGGTTGATTCAATTTGCCGGAATATGGAAAAATCCTGTAAAGTCAGCTGTACGGCCAGCTCATAGGCATTCAATTGCAGAAAATGAACGTTAGATTCTCGCACAAGTTCCAATGCCAATTCATCGGGCACTAAAGTTTCAGTTATTGTATTAGTTTTCAGATAGTAACGAGCTGCGAAACTGATGCGTTCTGCTAGATTCTGCAATTGATCGGGTAGACGTCGTTGTTTAACCATACCCCCCTCACCAACGCTGACCTCACATAAAGAAAAATTCGAGCTAGGATCATGGATACCGAATTCCTGCAGCGCCAGCATTACCACCTCATGAGCAGTTGTCTCTTTATTGATCGGCAGATATTTACATGTCTGATCGGCTTTGTATACCTTTAATACATGTTCCGGATAATCAGGTACCACACTGCCCGAAGCAGAAGCTGTCGAAGGGCGGTGTACGGAGGCAGACAAATAATTTCCCAAATTTATATTACTGGTAGGGGTTGTGCTCGATTCATAGCATTGCGAGGAAGTCAAGTCAGGATTAGATTGCGACTGATAAAGACGTCCACCCACTGAAGATGAACTGCCGCTGCTTAATGATCCAGACTTACCAACCTTTTCTTGAGTCCCCATATTGAGCAAAGCATCGCTGGAGTCGTTAAGATTACTATTGTGCAAACCACTAATATTCTTATTCAAAAGATTCATTTTTGCCAAGGCCTTTTGCAATCTACGCTTAGGAGCCAGTGTCATAAACCCTCCACCTTTGCCCTCGCCACTTCCATTGCCTTGCAAACTAGTGTCCTTTTTCGCCGATACGTTAACACTTTGCAATAAGTTATTCATAAAATTTGTAGCTAAGTTGCCTGCAGTTTGCAGCGGTGCAACTGGCGACTGCAAACCACGATCTGTTTGATCTTCACCAGCATTATGCAGTAGCATGTCTACGGAACTCAAGCGAACTATATGAGCCCGATTAGCAGCAGCTGACAATTCATCTGTAGTGGAATCGGCTCGACCATGCAACTTGGCGACATCATTAGCACAGATACGCCTCGGAGTCCGTAAAGACTTGGACGCTAAACCGGCAACGTTGCCATTTCCACAGTTTATCGATCCACTGTTGTTACATTCGACGGCCTGCATCATTTCCTTAAAACCTAAAAGATTACTTTTCACTGTGATGCTCAAATGAGTGCTGCTCATAAGTATCTCCAGTGCTCGTTTACTGGTCACATGTTCAAACGACTGGCCATTTACTTCATGGATTTGATCACCCCTTTTCAAACCAGTGTCCTGTGCTTTTGATCCCGCCTCTACATGGGAAATATAAATTCCATAACCACCGGTAGCAACACAGGCAGTACGCATTTCATATCCTCCAATAATTTTGAAATTCAAGCACTCGTCTCTAGAACTACGTGCTAAAATGCAGGAACGCATTCGAGCTTTGGCAGCACAAGCTATATGCAGTAATCTTAACTGGCTTAGTAATTTTTTACGCTCTAATCCTGCTTCGAAAACCTCTAGAAATTCCATCATTTCGTGATCAGCTTCAAAATCAGTAAAATGATTATTCACCCATAATAGTACCACTCTAGTCACGCGGTCTCTGATCTCTTGGTTAGTGGCGTGACTGGCAAATTTCGGCAGAATTTCTTTCTGGCTGTCGGCTTCAAACCAGTTTAAGAGCTTTTGTATAACTTCCTGAGAGTTCTTGATGAAAATTCGATGAGTCAATAAGAAATCTTCCACATAAAAAGGATCGGTCATGGAGTTCTCTTCTACTAATTGCTGTAATAAACGCTCTGGAGTGCCTCTGATAACCACGTGTCCTCGCTTTGTATTTGAACTGGCCGAAGTCGACGTTGTAGTGGCACTCGTTGCGTCGTTGTTACCAATTTGCCGCAATTCTGTAACCATTACGACGAGACCGTCTTCATCTTCATGTCTTCTGGTATTCTCCTCACCTTGATGCTGTATGCGATAGTAGTCTGTTTGAGTTATGCACACGAATTGGCAATCATCACATTTTGTACGCATGACACCTTTATGATAAAGTTTATCCATAGTTGGGAGAATGCCAAATGAGTCACCCATTTGCAGTTCCTCGCGCTCGCCATTTGCGTGCTCGATTTCCACTGCGCCATTGATTAGAACGGACCACGAATCCAATTCTTCGCCATCAGACATAACTACTGTGCCAGCTTTGTCGACCACAGCGAATACCATGACCGAACAAAGAGCCCTCCTCACTGACAGTGTAATATTGGTAAAAGCCTTAAGGCCCTGAGTGAATTCCAACAAAATCTCCACATCTTCTTCGGTACGTTCGGACGGATCCTTTTCAAGGCAATCACGTACAGCATCACGAACATTTAAACTCTATTAAAAGAAAAACGACAGCTTAAGGATTATTTGCTAAACTCAGAATAAAGAGAATAAGACCAATCTATAATAAATAGATGAACATTACGAGTACAGAAAAAACTTCATAAAATTATAAGAAAAACGTTATAGTAAGTCGCTGCCTATCATTAAAAACAATACACCAACCCACAATGATTCGTATAAAGGCTTTTCAAAATAAAGCGTTTTACGGGAAGTCGTGGAAAAAATGGTTCGATCCAAACCAATTTAAATTTCATCGGGACATCGCCTGATTGATCGCTTATATAATAGAAAAAAAAAGTGTTCGTCCTTGGGTCACTGCACCAAATATCATCAACATATCTCAAAAACTGCGGACCGACAAGCTTAAATCGATTACATCGATAAAAGGAGGGTCTATCTCAACTTCTTCTGTGTGTTGCATACAAACTTAATATATCCTTGTACTATAAGGGTGTAGGGTATAATAAATAATACATGAATTTGACGAATTGAGTTACAAAGAACTGGAAACTTTTCAATTTAATATTTCTATGTTTTTTCTGCCGTAAAAGCTTTTATTAAGCACGACATTCCCATCAAATTATTTGTACTGCTTAACAACAACAAGAGAACAACGTTTGATTTGAGGTTTTTTCCTCATTTTTTTCTTCTTTTTTTTATTACTTTTCATTCATTCGAAAAACATAATTTTTTTCTTTTCTCAATTATAATAACAACCTGTTACCTATTTTGAAAAAAAAAAAAAAAAAAACACCAAAGTAACGGTCGGTTATGCCATAAAAAGAGAAAACAACTTGTTGTGTGTGGAATTGAGTCAATTATAACTAAACAAGTGGTACTGTGTAGTGACGAGACGATAACAGTGACGATGATGATGACGATTTGCACACAATACAAAGCGTATATATACGACGACATGATAATATAAATCAGCTCTGGGAGTAAGATTAACCTAAAGTGGAACATTGAACCATAGTGGTGAAATAATAATAATAATAATAATTGCGATATAATGGTTTTGATTATTGAAGAGGTATCCAACCACACCACACCAACACAAACACACACAGAGGCTTAAACTTATCAACGCTACTCAGCTAGGGCAAGACCATTACAGCAGAATTTAAATTGTATGGCATAATAAAAAATTAAGGCATTCTTAAGCGCATTACTTGAAAAATGATAAATGTGGGAAAAAAGAAAATATGTGATCGTTGTGTACTTACATCCATAGATTCCGCCAAATCCTCTTCATCTGAATCTACTGTAGATTCAACTAAACCGGAGAAATCAATCTCCTCGCCTTCTAGTGATGAACCGTAGACGGAAGCCATTGTATCACTGCCACTATAAGCTGAACTGGTATCACTTGAATGCGAGCCGCGATTGCATTTTTGGTGCAATTCTGGTCTATTGGGTGGTTGATACTGAAATTTTGTTTTTTTTTTTTTTTTTTTGTTAAATTAAATAAAACTCTATTAAAGCTATAATTTCGTAATAAATGCCTCTTAACTTACATGTTGTCGTATATGATGATATGGATCCATTTAGTTGTTCCCCGCGGTAACAACAGCAAACAAACAGCATAAAATTAAAAATAAAAATTTTTCTTTTTCTCTGTTCGCCCGCGTTGTTCGGCTTTTTTTATAAATATTTATTATTTTACGTTTTTAGAATACATTGAAATACGTAGATTATATGATATCTTCTTCCTTTGGATTTAAATACATAGTTTTACATAAATCAAGATATGTTAATAAATTCGTCTTTGCTTATTTATATCATACAAGAGAGATTTTTAAATTTCGAGTCCTGTATTTACATGACATACTATGAAAAAACAGGAAGAAAGAGAAGAGAGAAATATATTGTTAATGCACTTTTAAAGAACTATAGAGAAAAATGTAGACATTTCTCAAAATAAAGGATTTTTTCAATGCTTATACACAAAGAGAGTATATTGGTCCGCGGCTTCCACTATCAACCTACAGGTATTCATGTAATCAGTTTTCAAGACAATTCGTTATATGGGAAGTGGTCAAAAGAATGGTACGATCAATTCATCAATTTCATCGATATATCTAAAAATTGTCGCCTTTAGGTTGAAAACATAAAAACAAGGCGAATAGATGGACAGATAGATTTAGATAGATTAAGAAAGTGAATCTGAATCGATTGTTTGTAATAAAAGGCGGGTCTATCAAATGGACAGACGGACAGACAAGATTAGGTAGATTCGAAAAGTGAATCGGACAGACGGACAGACAAGTTCAGTTCGATTCAGAAAGTGAATGTGAATCAATTGGCGTAATGAAAGGTTGCCCTATCCGAACATCCTCTGAATTTGCATCCATCCGTATAAACTTAATATACCCGTATTCGACAAGTGTTGTAGGCCACGAAGAGTGGAATATTATAAGGTCTATTTAAGAAATTTAGCAATCGTCAGAATAGTTCAAAATAGATCTGTCGTCATTTATTCCTACTACGTCGCTTTCAACTTAATATCTGTGATGTGTGAGTCAATTTACAAGTTTTTCTATCACTTTTTAAAATTTACCTATAGAAAAGTGATATAAAAACACGACTACAGACAACTGTCTTTCCAAAGGTAATAGATCCATACTACAACTCTTTTAAGTTCATTCCATAACTTGGCAGAATTGGAAGAAAATTTTTGGCAAATTTGTGCCTGGCACATAGAAGTGATCAAGGCCAATAAACCGCTTGTCTGGTAGAGGCATTGTAAATTACGGATAAAACGTTTTCCTTTTGGATTCCGATCTCCAGACGTACCCTCACATCAAAGGTTTAGTCTTTCTTCACAAGCTCAACACTTTGTATTAAAACGATTGTTAGTCTGAAGGGGCTTTTTATAATTTATAATTGCATCTATACCTATATCTCGATCCAATACTGTATAACATAATGGTTATCTATTCCTATATATGATTGCTGCTCGTGAATATGCCACAAGAGAAAGTGCATTTGGCTCGGCAGAACATCCCGTCTTTTATGGTCGTATCTTCAGAACGAAAATTTACAAACCAATTTTTAGCTGCCCAAACAGTTGTCAATCCTTCACCGTATATGCTACATATTTTTTCAGCCTTTTCAGCCTTAGTGCCTTGTTTAAGTTCCCAAAGTATTCTATATCGAAATTGCACTTTTTAACTCTCCACTCAGAGGTTATTAAAAACAGTTGAATGTAACATGCGTCACTTAAAACAATTGGCAGAAGACCATCTGAATCCTCATGCATATATAGCGAAAACAAAATCCAAACAATAGATTCTACCTACCTGCATCGGAAGTTATCGACCTAATAGATACAGGCACAAACACAATTTTCAAGTGAGCGTCCTTTACGATCCTTCCGAATCGATATTCTCGACTGATTTTAAAAAAATCAAATAAGAGAAGTCGCCCTTTTTTTTTTGCAATAACTTTTGGAAAAATACCCGAACGTGACTAGATTTTCGCCTGTACTTCCAAAGAGACTTAATTCGAAGTGGAAAATGATAGCGATGCGCAGCAAGGAAAGTCAATGAATAAAGGGTTGTTTTGCGTGAGCTTCCCCGCACTTACATTTTCTTTGTGAAGTGTATGAAAAAAGTGTCGTAAGTACTTTAACCAGTTAGCTACGTAATTTATTTTTAAATGTCTCCGACATACGGGTGCGAAATTGAAATCAAGCTGTGACGTGCATGCACGTCAAACGCAATAAAAATACAATTAGCTGCGTCATAATTTTTATGGAAGAATTGAAGTAAAACATATAAAATTTCATTTCTATTAGATAAAACTATCCTTGTTGAAAAGGATATTATCATTGAAAATACTTCCAAGAAAAAAAAAAATAATAAAATCATCAAACAGGAAAAATTTCTTTTATATAACATATGGAAGCTTAAGAACATCATAACAATATCTAAAAAGTAGACATATATTTTCGTATAATCTTTCTTCCCGCCCGGTTACAGTGCAAGAGAAGGGCGGATGACGTAATTATTCCACCGATTCTGTCCACGTCGCCTATTTTCTAACAGGCAAGTTCCGGTTTTTTTTTTTTGCGGTACATCATACGGGAGATAATTTCTTTACCAAAGAATGTATCAAGATTTTTTATACATTACTCCAGTTGTGGTGCAACAGGATGTTAACTGTGTATGAATGTGTACAACGACCAGAAGGACTTGAAATATACCTACCTTTTATTGTGCGAGTCGATTCAGAAAATGATTCTGATTGATTCTAAGCCTATTTATCCGTCTGTTCTTTTAGCGTTCAACCTATAGGTTTAAGGCTTTTGAGATATTGTGAAGAACGTGTTCTGACTAAAGAGCGAAATGGTCCATATCAGACTATTTATATCACGATTGATGCCCCGGATTACACAGCAACTTGAACGTTCCCTTTATATTTTTTTAAAACAATTTGTTCAGAATGCACAGACGCATGTAAAACCAGATGATCGCGTAGAGAAAATAACTCCGACATTATAATCTAGTACACGTAGAGACGCTAGTAAACCAGTACTAGTCAATTAATTCGGTTGGGTTAGTATTACAATAGAATATGCCCCATTTCATTTCTTTCCTCCTTTTATTAAAGTTGCACTTTGCGAATGATGTTGAATGCACTGGCCCGTGAAAGCCAGTTATTTTCGAAAAGATTGTCCCACTACTTGCCTATTATCAAAATGTCGATATTTAAATATGGCGTTGAGCACATAGGAATGATCGGGGTACGATGTAAAGCATAGGGGTTCACTTTTCTCCTTCTTGAGGGATAATTTTTTTCTAATATATTTTTGTATACATTTGCGTCCATAAAAGGTAATTGTTTCAGGCATTTTTCCAAACATAAGTTAGGCAAGTAAGCGAGTTTGAAGGGAAAAAATTTATAAAACTTACTCGTACCTTTGACAAGAGAAACGTCTTCAATTTGAACACTTTATCATGATGGCACGATAGTCAAATAGAACTTCAGCTGCTCGAAAGAAATTTTCATCACAATATTTCAAATAATTGGAAAATGCTCTTCAGTTGGGTTACTTAAGTCTTAAAAGTTTCATCGATTTGAAAATAGCAGCAATCAGTAGTTAATAAATTTCTTAAGTTGATCATAATAGATTAGCATTAGTATTTATTGTACGAATGTTATGATTTTATCCCCGTTTAATAACACTGATCGATTCCTGCCTCACAAGACTACTCACGACTACTAACTATAAAGATAACTTATAGCAAAACGAAAGTTGCGCATATGAGAAACGCTACCATATTGCACGCCGCAGCAATAACACACAATATAATAAGTTTTAATTATTTTCACCATTAATTAAAAGACATGATGACATTTCAAAAGAAAAAAAATAACAAATTTCACTCACTTTTCCAAAGTAATATAAACAACAAATACGCACAAATACCGCAAAAAGCTATACAAATATTCACATACAAATACAAAATAAACAAACAAACGGAAATTACTAGAGAAAAGCTATAAGTTGTGATGAGCTCCAAGAGAAGAAAAGGGAAATAATGAATAAACCACAACCACCCTCGTTATTCGGCATAGAGCGTGGAGTTATTACTGCACATGGGAAATAAAAATTCAACTCTCACAAGTAAATCATTAATCGTGCGTAGACATATGTCACAAAAATGACAAAAAAAAAAAAAAGTTGAATGGAATCACATAAAGTAAGAAAAAAAAGAAGAAATATATATTATTATAAATTTTTTATCACAATCAAAATAAACAATTAACTGTAAGAAAAGAAGTGATTCTGTTAAAACTGCTGACTGCTCAGTATTTACGTTAGTTATCGATAACATGGCATATGAACACTGAACGCTAGATCAAGCGAAATAAACTACCCACATTCAAAAACAACCAATGTGTTCTTACACACACACACAGCCACACACGCGCGTATTAAATGTTGTGTACATAATTATATGTTTATATGACATACAATACTTAAGAAAAATAAATTAACTAAAAAGCAATAATATTATCAACGATTGTGGGAAACTTCGTTAAATAAGAAAAATGTATATATAAGAGTTTATTAAAACTAACAACACAACACAAAAGTGGGCGTTTGTTGCCTACAATGACATTAGAAGACAACGCAGCAAATATATAAACACAGCTACGAATGCGAAAACTTAATTACTAAGTTTTATAAATATGAAAAAAAAAAAAGACAAACGGAAAGTAAAACTAGGGCGTTTATGCGGGGGCAAGTGTTGATCAGTATTGATAATTGCTATTGTTGTTGCTTTATAAATTACTTACATGCTGTTTTTTTTTTTTTTTTTTTTTTTGGTTTAATAAAAATAGATTATTTTTTCTTTGATTGCAATTTTTTCTTTTTTTGTACACATAGTTTTTATACGACATTCAAAGGAATTTTTCCATGAACACACACATTTGCCCTCTCTCTCTCTTGAAAGTATTTCTTTTTTGCTCATCTTCTTTGCACCACCAGTAGCAATAAATAACACACAAACCACATTTTACTCCTAGTTTGTAGAGTCATTAACAATATCTATACATATAAACATATACGCAAACGCACGCTAAATAACGAATGAACATAGATTTATTGTTGCTACTCTCTATAGTATGTTTTGTTCCCATATCAACGAATACGAATACGAGCAAATTAAACTGTTAAACTGCTATTAGCACGAAAAAAAAACGAATATCAAAAAGGAGCAAAAAAAAAAAAAGAAGAGGAAGGGGGAGCGAGCTTTCTTCACTATTTTTTCAAATTATTATTTTTAATACATTTTCAAAGATAAATGTATGCATTCTACTACATTCTTCCATCAACACTTTACTGCATTATTTCCCAATAAACTTTATATAAAAAACGCACTTAAAAGTATAAATTTTTAATAAAAGAAAGCAACAAAAAATATTCTTTCGGACGCGTCGACTTTTTCGTCTCGATTTCTTTTTTGATATTCATATTCTCTGCTAATCCCTTTTTGTTTCAAATAAAAGTGTTGCCAATGCTCAAACATTTCTTTCCCCATGAAGATTATCTGGCATAGCCATAGATAAACCCTACAAAATATGAATGCATTATATGCGTTATGGAATGAATTGACTTATACCAAAAGCAAAAAAAAAAAAAAAAAAATCGAATTATTTGATTTATTGTTGTTTATAATCTGAGTTAGTTTTATATGGACATATTTTTTTTATTTTTAATTTCAGTTTGAAATGTTTAAATGAAATAAAACCAAACAATATTACTGGGAATAGTTTAAACGTGAAAGTGTTGCCACAGCGTTTTATTATTCAACTAAAGCAAATCTTTGATAATAATAATGTTTTTAATGCACCTAAAGTAGAATTCGTATAAAGAATGCGATAAAATTGTTATACAATTTAAAGACAGTTTCTAACTACACTTGATTTTCGTAAAATATATATTTCATTTAATTTGAAAGGGAAAATAGGTTAAAGAAATGGGTAACAAAACGAATTGCAAGCAATCATTTTCTCTTGTTTCATCCAAATGTCTGTCTTCCAAATAAGTAATGTTAATTTAAAACTATATATTCTAAAACCAATTTTATATATTCAATTGGAAAAATTTCGCATTACCCGCCCAGAAATGTACACAGAAAATCAACCAAATGAGTCTACAATGTATGGAATATACAAGGAAAGTGAAAGACCTTTGACTTTTTAATGTGATTCGAACAATATTTAAGATGTAGGCGTTGCTATATATTCTAAGAAGAATTTTGAAGAACTTAAAACCGAGCACAATCAGAGCATGGAGCTTGAGGACTACAAAATTTACGGAGTAGAGCTAATGAAAAACCTTTCTGTTATTAATTCTTATATTAATTCAAAATGTACAGCATTCACAGAGATTTTATGTTTCTTTCTTGCAAGATTCCCTATTATATTAGCTCGCTCTATAGATTTTTCAAATAATGAACTTTTAGCATTTTGCTTTTTTTGACATTACCAGCATCTAATTTTATGTAAAAGCTTTTTTATGCTTATTGGAAGGGGAAACCCTGTTGAAGAGGAAACCCTTTCCAACTAAAGCAAAAATTTAGATTCTTTTTCAAGGTATGCGTGAGTAAATATTTGTGCGTTACCTTTTAAAAAAAAATGTGATCGTCGAACCTAAGAGGAGGCTATGAGAGCAAGAAATGGCAGCAGCCATTTTTACATGAAAAAATATAAATAATCTACATGTATGCGGGTTAGTGTATATAAAGGTGCATAGCCATTTAGTAGGAATATTTGTGTACACTGTGTGTGTGAGCATTTTCTTACAAAATTGGATTTACTTGCTTAGAGGAAAAACTACAGAAAAATCCATTTTTTTATTAGCTTAATGGATGCTTCAAAGTTTTAATAAAATGCATTTTTTATATAAAAATTCTACTATTTTACCCCAATTTCATCAAAAGTTTTGAAGAAATTGTTCAAATTTTACCGTATTGAGACAAAAAGTCCAAGTTTGGCTCGATCTCTCTAGCGACTGCTTTGCACCTAGTTGCTGCGCTGCATCTGGCTCCTGCTCTGCACCTAACTACAGACCAAACCGCAGGTGAGAAGTTGAGGGCCGCAAATGATTGGGAAGCGAGCTTTGTTGACGGAGATCTAGTGCAGCTATATAAGCCGTCGCATAATGACAGATTGTCAGCAAATTTGCTATCTAATTGGGAAGGACCATACAAAGTTATCAGAAGGGTAACTGGTAGAGTCTATCGCATCCAGATACATCAGAAAGGCGAAATTATAGATAAGATAGCTCATAAGCAGACTGATAGCCTTTGGAAATGATCTAGTTCGGGGCGAATAAGATTAAGTGAATGACAGTGTTATGGAAATCCCAAATCTACATTCATGTCCACTTATTGATTTTCCCAGAAAATAATATCCAAGATAAGGAAAAAACAAGCGTAAATTCATGGCGCATCAAGCAGCTGCCGGCCAACGAGAAGGTTAATGGAAACCAGATCTATTACGATAACTTGCTTATATAAGCTGAACATTTGAATAGAATAAGTTAGCACGAGAAGGACATTTGAGTCGGAAAGAAGAATACTGTCAAACTAAGAAATAATCGTATCATTAAGTGTGATACGAACTGTATCAAGAAAAGCATATCCGTAACAATATATTAATATACCACCACGTGAACATTTAATATTTATAGCGACTTATATGAAATACACTTTTATTTGACAAGAGCTTCTCTTGCTTTTCATTCATGTATTTCCCGCTCCATTGCGACTAGGTTGAAAACATGATGAAAACTTTGTTAATATATGCTAAATACAGACAATATTGACCATCGATTCTTTGGGTTGTTGAACTTGCTTATATGTGTGTACCATGATTCAAGATGTACATAGAATTGGTTTTAAGCTTAGTTGCAATGGCTACCTACGCAGTTTATTATTGAATTCAAATATTGTTTGGTTTATTACCGTTAACATAACAACATATACTGTCGTGGCTTTGTTTACGAAAGTAAGTGAAAGAAATGAAACGATTCGTTTTCGTATATTTTGTGTCACTATATGCTTTGCTTACAACCGTTTAGCGTTTTTTTTTTTTAATTTCTTTCGTATTAGAGTGGAATCTACCAATCGTCACATCGGGCAATTCCAATCACCCCGATATTTTGCACACTCCCATGCCAACATAAAGTGGTATATGCATAATGTAAGCCGCTCTTGATATGAGTATCAAACAAAAGACTTGGAGAACAAAATGCGACGATTGAAATGTTGTCATTCTACCTTAGATAAGGTGGGCGCCACGAGCTTTCATTTTAAGTTATCATTTTCTTAAGGACCACTTGGTAAGGATCTCAGATAAAAGAGTTTGGAGAGTAGAATAATAAAGTATTTGTTTAGAGATAAGAACATTATCAGGGGGCACGACCTATCGTTATCCTACATCATCATTCAGTTATCCATTTATCGACGTTTCAAAAGAAAGTCTTATATGAGAAGTTGTTGAAAAGGTCATCCCAACAGAATCATTTTCAGTAGTGTTCGTCGTTGGGCAGCACATTTCTGTAGGTTGAACACAGGCGGGCAAACGGACAGAATCATTTTCTGTAGGTTGAACACAGGCAGGCAAGCGGACACTATCACTTTCTGAATCGATCCGTATAATACAAGATGGATTAAACCTACAAACTTAGTATAACCCCAAGCGGTGTAGGGCACACCAAAAAAAAAAGTATTTATATAAATCAGCTTTGATTTTAATGAGCTTGAAAAAAAAATTTTTTTTCTACATTACATTTATTTTGAGTATATGTAAGCACGCAGAACATTTGAATTAGGTCAAGAACTTCGCATTTATATAAGGCCGGACCGTTTGATTGTAAAGACTTTTTAGCAACAGAAAAATATAATATGAACAACATCCGATGCAAGCCAAGACTATAACGGCGAGTTTGACTTGAGCGAATCACTTATTTCCCTACATGAAGCAGGTACGTTTGCTTATGTGGATCTCACAGAAATTACGAACCTGTGCTCCTACGCATGCTTAATAGATTTTCATTGTACATTACGCCAATTCTGATACCAGAGTATATTGTCTGGATGTATGCAACATTTAGGAGAAGTTGAGATAGAACCACATTTTATGATATCAATTGATTCAGAAAGTGATTCTGTCCAAATTTATATGCCCGTTTGTCCGTCCGCCCGTATTGTTTTCTTATGTTTAACCCATAAGCTATATGTAGGAGATATTTTGATCAAATTTAGTACGCTGACGTATTTTAGGCCAAGGACGCACCATTTGTTCGGCCTGCGCCCATAGAAAGTTTTCTTGCGAAAAGTAATTATATGAATAACCATACTAGGCGAAGTGGTATAGGGTATTTGGTTACGGGCCTTCTTCCACCTTGCTTAGTACAGCGAAAGGTTCTGAATTATAATTTAGAAATTCGCGTCATTCAGCGCGCTCTTTAGACAGTATACTAACTAAGTTTAATAAATTCGCTTAAGTATTCCGTAAAATGACAAAAGTGTTTTACATAAGTCTCAGGGTCCGAAATATATACATTGATGTAACGTGTAATCGATTAATACAAAATTAGTGTATTTATAATGACAAGAATTAGTTGAAAGTTTTAATGAGTAGACAAATCATGCAAAGTGTATATAAACTGCAAGTTTTTAAACGAATTGTCTTAGTTGCCATTAACTTCCGGACTCGTGAATAAGTGATTTTTTTAATAAAAAAGTGATACATATTTTGGAAATGAGTTTAATAAAAGGTGTAAATTATTTTACCGCTAATGGTGAAAATTCCAAAAAAATATCAATAACGGATTTTTACAATAATCAAGAAATATTTATAACCGGTGGCTCCGGTTTCATAGGAAAAGCTCTAATAGAAAAGCTATTGCGTTCATTTCCTAATTTTAATAAAATGTTTATATTATTACGTCCAAAAAAGGACAAATCGGCGGATGAAAGACTTCAAGAACTTTTGGATAATATAATATTTCAAAGAGCGCGTGATGAGCAACCGGAATGTTTCAAAAAAATTCACGCCATAGCTGGTGATTGTAAGGAATTGGGCCTGGGCATAAGCAGCGAAGACCTTACACGAATCAAAAATGTTACCATCATTTTCCATTCGGCCGCAAATGTCAGGTATAATGTTTAATTTGTAATATTTTAATTAAGAAATTCATTAATACTTTTTTCTTTTTGATGTTTCCAAAGGTTCGATAATCCTTTTAAGGATTCCGTTTTTATAAATTTACGTGGCATTCATGAAATTTTAAAAATCGCTGAAACGATGTCAAAGCTAATCGCTTTCGTACATGTGTCCACTTTATACGCGAACGTCGATCAAATTCATATAGAAGAAAAGGTATCTATCTCTTCAGTATAAGAGTGCACACTGCAAACTTACTCTTCCCAATATTTGCACAGATGAGGTCAAGTAATTGTGATTGGCGTACAACCATTAAATTAGCTGAAACACTCGATGGCGAAACACTGGATATACTTTTTAAAAAGTATAGTTCTGATCATCCGAATACTTATACGTTTGCAAAAAGTTTAGGTGAACACATTGTCAATGATTATAGAAATAAATTGCCCATTATAATATATCGCGTAGCCCAGGGTAAGTGGATCATTACAATTTAGAAATATGTGCGTACGATATCTTATAATAAGTGTCCGTTTTTTCACTTTTTTTGTTTCATACGTGAAGTGATCAACAGTGTTGATGAACCCTTACCAGGCTGGTTAGATAATATTAATGGTCCAGCAGCTCTAATCATGGCATGTTATATCGGCGTGAGCCAAGTTTCCTATATGAGCCCCTATACGAAATTAAATATGGTTCCATGTGATGCAACGGTTCACGGTCTTATCATATCCGCTTACGCGGTCGTTATGAAACCTAGCTTTTTAAACAATTCAAATGGATCCGTAGAAGTGTTAAATAATTGTATGTCAAGCGAGACTTTATCGACTCAATTGCAAATCATAGAGCACGGCGTTGATTTAGCAAGGGAAAACCCTTCGGAAAAAGCGATATGGGCTACAGGTAGAACCCAAACGAATTGTTGGATACGTTTCTTTATACACGTAAATTTTGCATATTCTTTTCAAACGAGCAAACTAAAACGATTCTTAATTGTTCTTTTTTAGTTCATGCTTATCCAATTTTCATTAGCCATTTTGCTTGATTGTATCCTACGTTTGAGGAAAGAAAAACCTTTGTAAGTATCTTCAACTTAAATTATTATTATTATTAATTAATTTAGATAGAGAATGAAATTTGAAGACTAAAGCACTTAAAGCACTAGGCATCTAAGGATATCGGCTTTATTGAACACATGGCAATTGAGCTGTCAATCGAAATCTTTTACCTACCCGGCCACCCAGACTACGTTAAAACTATCGGTTACTCAGAAATGAAATTAATTTCACTTCTCTGTTTACCTCCTTTCAAGATTTCTTTAATCAAAACCTTTTCAATCAATCGTTAAGGGAGGATAACTATTGTGGCGATTAGTAAGTAACGTATTTAGTGAGCGGCGGGGAGCGAACAACATATAAAAAAAAAGTCTCTCAAAGTCAGATAGAAAAGACTTAACCAACCGTGTAATAATTTTGATATCATTCGGTAACGTAGTGCTTGTTTGATGACTGTAGAAACAAAATGACGTTTCTTTCATCTTAGAAAATAAGGAATTTTTTCTTGCAATGTTGTAGAAATAAAAAAAAAAAACAGATAAGAAAACTATAGTCGGTCGCGAGCAAATCCTTTTTACACCCATCACGGCTTGATACAATAATAATAAAGACTTTGCCTAGTTTCTGAAGCTTCTTTCTCAGTGCTGTGAAAGTATTGATAAGAGAATGAAATTGCAATATTCTATATTATTGAACCGGCGTGACTGATTTTTTCCATTTTTATGCAGGTACTGCAGGACCACACTCATGGAATATGAACACAAATTTTTTTTTTTTGTATATCTCTTGTTTTATAAACAACAAACAAAATACCAAATGTTTTCTATTTTCGAAAACAGAACTGATCGCAGATTATGTTGTACTATGGTTGGGTTCTTTGATCGATTTGGCTTAATTTCAATACCAACTTGCGGGCGGAAAATGTGCCAAATTTCAAGCCGATTGGCATTTTTGCGACCAAAGAAATGATTAACGCAAACAATATACAGACAAACAGGTAGAGGGACGAACAGACAGACACGCTTAAATCGGCTTTCAATTACATGCTGATCAAGAATACAAATACTTTATGGGATCCCTGAAGTTTCTTTCTGGGTTCTGCAAAAAGGATTTGTGATATAAATTGTATCCACTACTTGATTGTAAAATTTACCTCTGCCGCAGCACACTATAATAAAATAAAAAGGAAAATATTTTTAAGCGTACCACCGAAGGGTCAGAGGTATATTCATAACAATCAAATTCTGAATCGATTGAAGCGTGTCCGTTTGTCCGTCCATTGTACACGTTCTTGTGGCTGCAAAAACCGAGCAATGAGCTCCAAATTTGTCGTAAACATTGACAGCTCTTGCATGCATGCTGGAATTAAAAATTGGCTTAATCAGTCGAAGGACACGCCTGCAGCAGGACGAAAACTGGGAATACCTCTTTTTTGCAACAGGGGAGAAAACTGTTTTTTTGGTTATTATTTACAAAGTACAGTAGAAAAACCCATAAAACTTTCAAAGTATGTTCTATGAGCGATGCTATAGTAATGGTAAAAAAATGGAAAAAATCGGCGCCTCCACCTACTCAAAATTATAATGTTTCAAAATTTTATTTATTTTGTTTTGAAATTGTAACCCTACAAAGCACATTCATCTCTCATCAGTTTCTGATTCGGTATCTAATTAAATATATCCGCCTGTCCATCCATCTATCGTCTGCCCAACTGCATAGTATTTGTGATAAGCATTCTCCCGTTCATAAAAATGGTGATACCGATAGGCAGAAATTTGCAAAAGAACTTGAAAATGATTCAGACCAGCCAAAGGACACGCCTACAATGCAAAAGGAAATTAGAGCAGCTTTACTTGACGTGTTTTTTGCTCGTTAATCAGAAACTATGCGCGAAGGAAGTATAAAAGTTTGTACTTTTATTCAACCTAAAAGAAAAATCAGCAACGCCCATCCAATGGTAAAAAGTTTTGCTTCTTTTTTTTTTAGTTGTTTTAGGATAACGGTGATGGTTACAAAAAATTCGAATAAAATTTTCGTACTTGACGAATTAACGATATTCAGAATTGTATAACGAATCATTACCTTTCACAAATATTCTATTTTATCTATCGTACTTACTGCTGACTGGCCTTAGAACTGCTACTTGCCAGCTTGCTGAGGCAAATATAACACCCCTGAAGCTTCTTAAGCACGATGAACATTTTATATGAACATTTTTCAGTGGGAATTTATTTCAGAAGTGTGCGAATTTTGAATATTAATCTAAACTTAAACGTCACAGGCGTGGCACAACGGTATATGAAATTTGTAACGCCCAGAAAAGACTGGAGATAGACTTATCCTTTATCATATCGATCGATGCAGAATCATTTTTTGCTCTTAAACTTGTGTGTCCGTCTGTCTGTCGCGTTTGACTTCGATCAACGTACAGACAATTTTTGAGATATTTTGATGAAATTTGATAAGATCGGGACCACTTCCAATATAAATAAAGACTTATTTCAAAATGTCGTTTTATTTATACGTGGATCAAACAAAGTGATGTAGCGTATTTAATGGTGGGCCGTGGCTCACTATAATAGTTTCACTTCGTTTTACTATTATGTATTCAAAACTAGTAAATTAATAAAAGGAGTTTATTTACAGTTTCGTGAAACTACAACGACGAATATATTCTGCTAATATGATCGTTCAAAAATTTGTAAACACGAATTGGATCGCGGATAACGACAAATACAAAAGTTTATCTACCCTGATAACCGAGGAAGACAAGTAAGAATTTATGTTAAGCTTAATTAAAGAATTCACATAACATATTCTCTCCCTCTATCTATCTCCGTCTCTCTCTCTCTCTCTCTCTCTCTCTCTCTCTCTCTCTCTCTCTCTCTCTTTCTCTTTTTTTCTTTTTTTGCAGGAATAAATTAAATCTACGTCTAAACTTTAAAATCGATAAAGACTATGGACGAACTTGTATTGAAGGATACAAAAGATTTATCTTAAAGGACCCAGTTAAACCCTCCAAACAGGCAATTTTACGATTTAAGATTTTATTTTTTTTACATTATTTGGTAATGTCTGTCATGGGCTTATGCTTATTGTTGGTTATAAAAAAACTGATTCCATTATCTGTATAACAACTTATGTTATTTTATATTCAAATTTCAAGTCTATTACGTTAACATTGTATTTATCGTTGATTATAACAAATTGATTTTAATAAATGGGCATAATTTTTATCATTTCAACAGTTAAAGTCATTTAATTGCGTTATTTATATCCACAACGAGGCTTCAGAGACCCCATAGGGTATATATATTTTTCATCAGCGACAAATTCTAAAGCGATTTAAGCGTGTTCGTCGATATGCTCGCTAATTTGTCTCTCCTTCTGTCTATGTAATTCTTTGGTTACAAAAAAGGACGAAATCGTTTTGAAATTTGGCACGAAGACTGACATTTGGATGCTTCACTTGTCAAATCGATTAACTCCGTGTTTGGAATTTTATTAAATTTAATGAAATTAAAAATGGAATTAATCGATTTGGCAAGTGAAGCATCCATTTGTTGCACGTTGGTACTGAAATTGAGCCAAGTCGGTCAAAGGACACAACCATAGTACAACATAATCTGCGGCCAGCTCTGTTTTCAAATATAAAAAAATATTTCGTTTTTTCCTTGCTACTTATAAACGAAAAGAGGCACAAAAATACAAAATTGCATTTGTATCCTATGGGTGGGACTGCAGTGCCTGCAGTATAAAAATTCGATTCGCTTAGAATAATAATATTGTGCTTTCATATTATATCAATTATGAAAATGTTAAGTTTGGGTAACCCTGCTATTAAACACTAGGAAAGCTAGCAAAATAATAATATTTAGGTCATACAAGGTCATTAAAAGTATGTTTAAGTACTAAGAAAAAAAAAACATTTTTGAAAAATATTAGAAAAGGCAGCATCGCTGCGACTTTCCTGAGACATCATCTACGGGCCTTACATCTAGTGAAGTACGCAAAGAACTTTGAAAAATGTTGATTTTTGTACGATTGGCGTGTCCTTGAAGGGGAAAACATTTAGGTTGCGAGCCAAAAAGACACCCATCTTTCATTAATAAACAAGTGAGAGGGTTACAGTCTACCCTCGTTTGCTACAGTTATTCACACGATCGAATATCGTGCAAGCGGAGGTGACCCAAGAACGAAACAACCTACCCAAAATGATATTAACAGTTTACTCCGATCATCGTGGCGTTGGTCACTGCGAATTCTTTCCGTTAGGGCAAACTGTTAATATATATTAGTATGTATTAGGTACTGTTAATATATATATAAGCCAACACAGATTTGGAATAGAAAATAGATTTAAAAAAGAAAAAAATTGAATTGGGTATACTTTTTGGACGCCCCAATACGAGGGGTTTTTATAAAAATCATGCGTTTACATAAGAATTAATATAAAATTTTTGATGGATTGGTAAGAATTTGGGTAAAAATTACTGTATTAGGCGCAGTAGTATACGGTATCTTCCTTACGTGTGTCGCGTTCTGATCCTCGAAGTAAGAAAAAGAAAACCTCCGCAATTGTTGTTGACCTACTTGCAATATATATATATATATCTACTAGAATATCAAGAGAGTCAGTCTAAGCAGCACAAAAGCTCTTCTCATGTTTCATTATATTAATATATATGAAATCAAATATTGGATGCGAAAGGATTTGATCAAAGCCAAATGTTACATTTTGTTTTATTAATTCGATTAATTCGGGTTTTTTCGCTACAACTATTTTTCCATTTTACATGGTTTTTAATGTAATTATTTAACAAATGTGAAATTCGTTGATTTAAGCGTAACTCAATTCTTAAATTTAAAGCCGTTAAACTTTATTTTTCTCCCCCTTAAGCGTTAATAAAAACTCCGCCTGCACGCTATAGTTGCAGTATAACAAAAAAAGTGAAATCATTACCTTTGGGAATCACATAATGTTAAGATTACCCGGCAAGAATTTTTTTACGGCAACACCATTTGGATAAATAAAGAGTAAAATAAAAAGCAAATAAACAAACACACAAACAAACAAACAAAGATTAAGTAAAAAGCATTGCAAACATTCGGTCTATATAACCGAATAACTGTCTCATTTGACATTCTCTCTTGTATTATTTCACCTTTTCGTTATTGGTATTACACTTTCTGAGGTTATATTGCAATCACCCTTAATTTTAACTCGGTTTTCATCTTATTGAAATCCTAGATGGTGTAATGTACCCGTATAAAAAAAAAATATATATATATATATATATATATATACATAAAAGAAGAGAAAGAATCATAACAGTATTGCAAGTTCCGTAAGCAACAGGATAACAGTGACATTAAAACGAAGTCGTTATAGTTTTGTATCCCGTTTACGTAAATATTCGTTAAGGGAAAAAGACGCAGTGCGAAGAGTTTGGGTAAGATTACTCTTAACATATCATCAATAACACTAAAATTTCCATTTAATCCGTTGTCGTCTTGTTATGCTTTCTTCCATAGGGTTTCTGTTTATTTTGTTTGTTGCCTTTTCCTCGTGCGACTATCGTTTGTTTCTATTAAAATTAAAACATGCTGTTAACATGCTTCCACGTCTTCTTCAATGTGGTTAATTCTCAGGAGAACTATTTCTTTCAATAAAATAAAAAAAAAATTATTTTATTTTGATAGCTTTTGCTCCTTATTTTTATAGAACATTTCGATTTTATTGCATTTCGACACGTCAAGAAGAAGAAAATAGAGTACCAACTAACGGTGGCGGTAGTGGATTTAAAATGTTTGGCGGAGAATGTATTTTTGGTAAATAGCTACATCAAGCTGCCTTGTGACGAGCACATCTCCATTCCATCTCCTGTCATATACTATATGCAAACATTTTGAAACATTTCGGACTTGTTTGGGATCATTGAGCATATTTTGTGCACGTTTCTCTCCATACTAATGTCATATTTGACGCTTACGGGTACATTATTGTCGCTAAAGGCTTGCATCAAAAGCTGCTCTCCGCCTGTGGAAGGATCTGAGTATGGTCTCAAACTTGGGTCACAATTTCTAAAGAGGACGAGTTTTAATTAACTTCGTAGGATACATATATATATTTTTAATCAGTGAGAGCGTGTGGACAATCTGTCTATCTATCTGTGAACAATACGTTTGTAGCAATCATCATCATTACGGTTTTAAAAAGTTATGTGGGCGAACAAACTTAGTTTCAAGCATGGGTCACGATTGCTAAAGAGGGTGGGTTTAAATAAAAAAAAGGACTCCATAATATCTATATATTTTTAATCAACCATAGTGCATGGAATATCTGTCTATCTTTTTTTTCTATTGCCCGCTTATGCAAATCATCATTAAGGTCTTAATATTTTGGCTGAATGAATTAACTTGGCCTCACACTTGTTTCACAATTACTAAAGAGGATGAATTTTAACAGACTCGACATTTCATCGCCAGTCACAGTTTGCTACACTCTCCTTTTTTTTGCTTGGCAAGCCAATGAAATCGCTACGTTAAGACGGTTCGAAATTGCATTTTCAATTAACTCTTATGGTAGTCGCTTTCCCACCTTTTGGATCCTACCCGTCGCATCTAGACATTATTGACTCATAAACAGCTAAGCTGTTCGAAACTTCTTTGAGAGTTTGAGCTTGGTTTCCGTCCCGTAGGTCTTGCAATTCATCCTCTTCGAACTTTTTTGGTCCTACAAGTATCTGAAATCGTTGGGATATGTGGAAACAACATCATCACAAGCTTCTAAATGTGTGTGAAGGGCTTCTGCAGACGATTTCTTCAAGTCAAACAACAAAAGTAATGAAGATCGAAAATGCAATATTCAGCGTTCCATTATTAGCTAACTGTATGCTAACTCTAACGCCGTTGTTTTATGTAAAGAATGATCAAAATCATTGAATATAACCGTGTACTCGTGGATGGTTCGCATCATTTTCTAACTTTCACCAATAGATGTCGCTGATCAAAGTACATGCAAGCATCTATGAAAGGATCTAAGGTAGATCCACTTTTCATTCCAGAATCATTTTCTGAATCGATTTAAGCTTGTCTGTCCGTCTTGTATTCTTGTGTTTAACCTACAGATCGTAAGTTTACACGAAATTTTGGTATATCGATGTGTCTTGGATCGATGATGAATACTACATAAAATAGTTGGAATTGGAGCATCTTCTCGACCACTTTCCATACTAGGCTTTGTTTTGAGAAAACGTAAAACGAATACTTATAGTGTTTTTACTTGTTTTCTTGTTTTCTGAAGTTCATCTACATAAAATGACTTTTTATTTTTCTACTTTTACATATATAAGCCATTTTGCTTTTTAAGTTTTACATAAATTCTCCGAAAAGATCTTTTAAGCAACTTGCGTGCAATCATGTCAGCTAAATTCAGTTACATAAGAGTATTTAGAGTTAGTTCTCTTAACTTATTCAAATACGTTTTCTATGCAAAAATTTCATTATCTAAGAAAATCTTGAAAATCCTCTTTATAAACTTTAACCTAAATCTACGTATCATCTAACAAATTGATACAATGTCTTTATATCTTATGGAAAAACTTTAAAGCCTAACATAAAATTAGTTAAAGATAAAATGTGTTATTTTATAAAGTACGTGCGGGCATACCACACGCTGCATTTACTGCGAGCACATAGACCAGAAAAGCCGCAGAAAATCCACTCATTTTCTTGTTTTGCTAATAAAAGCAGAGAAAATGCGCACAGCAGGTGCATCATAAACTTAACCTCAAAACAGGGGAAAAGACTGAGAATTAAATTAAAATTCTGACAAATAAAAGCCTAAAGCGAGCTCTCTCGCGTTGCTTAATACACAAAAACACAATAAAAATGGTAATAAATGCAAAACTTCATAGGGAAACTGGGTTCGGAGAGATAAACATAACATCAAATTGACAGAAAATATAAAATAAAAAGTTGAAAAAAAAAAAAAATAAATAAATAAAAAAAAAAGTTATCATCTCTAACAATAACAATGACCGTCAATGATAATGATGATGGTGTTGATGATGATGATGATGATCATGATGATAATGATGATAGTGACGATGATAATGATGATGATGACGCTAATAGAAACAAAAGTTTGGCATGCG